ACGAAACTTCGACTCATTGAGTTGGTTGTTTTATTGTTCAAGGAAAATAAATATACGAATAATATATTGAAAACTATGTAAAACCCTGAATTTAGATAAACGAAAAATACTAAGTTTATACAACATGATTATTAAATCAATAAGTATAAAATAAAAATAAAACGGTCAGTAAAACTCTTTGAGAGTTCGTTTTAAGTTAGGCATGAGTTTGATATATCTAAACGTATCTGAAAACCGATATGAGTTGAATTACAATATCAATTTGTATCGATAACTAACTGTATATCTGTTTTTACCTACTTCAAAAAAGAGGTTATCAATTTGAGGTGTATGTTCGAGGTGTAATAATTTCGTTCGAATGGCGTAATATTTATGTATACTTCTAAACACGTGTGCATAGTTTTATAGATGTATGTAAAATTTGTTCACGCATATCTCACAAACTAAACGTCGGATTGCAATTATTCTTTTTTGTTTAATTGCTTAGCTTTCAAGTTAGCAAACACTACAAGTTTTATCAAAATCAGTTCAGTAGTTTAATAATCTATTAAAGTTTTACCGACTTCAAAAAATAAACCTTCAATTTCACCTGTCAGTTTTTACCGTCCTTAAAGAAATGAGAAATTTAGTTTGACCCGTATGTGGTAATTGTGTTGGAATATTCATATATGTTAGTCTATATGGGCTTCCAAACACGTGTGCTACATTTTTGTAGGTACGTATTGTATGTTGGTCCACGTATTTCTCGTAAATTGGCCATCGGATTGAAATGATTCTCTTTTTGCTTGATTAACTATTTATCAAGTGGACCTAATCGGCCCATCGTTGGATTGTGCTTGAGCGGTAGTGTGTATCTTATTGAACATCAAGTGTTATTTCGTCATGATATGTCTGCCAAACATTAATTGACTAGCTGTGCCCGCGACCTCGTCCGCGTGGAATAGTGACTTTCGGCAGCATCTTTAATTTTTACGGCTCCGTACTCAAAGGATAAAAGACAAATGTGATAGTTAGACTTGGCTGTTTGTCTGTCACCAGGCCGTATCACGTGAACCGTGAAACTTGGACAGTTGAGTTTTTCACAAATGATGTAGGTACTTATGTTGCAGCTTCAACAACAATAGAATAAAATAAATATTTAAGGGGTCTCCCATACAACAAACGTATTTTTTTTTCTTCGTCTACGGTACGGCACGTTCGTCCATGAGTTGACTCACACTTGGCGGGTTTTAAGGCTAATTATTTTGCAAATAAAACACATGTATTCATTAAAAAAGCTATTTTCTGTATTTCACGTTATTTAAGCATAAACATGAATTATTGTTCATCTACATTATGTAGACCCAAATAATCAAAATCTCTGTAGTTTTTCAATTATTTGACTTATAAACGTATCCAAAGAAAAATATTTAAATTAGTTTGTAAAGCGAAAAAAACGTATTATTATTTTTTAAATATAACGCAAAGATTATGGAAATATAGGTACTGTGACCAACTACTAAATTGAAGGAAACAATATCATTATCACATATGCTACTGTTAAACAGCATGCTTAAACTAAATTTAAATTAAATATTATATGTCATACAATGAAAGTTTTCTAAATTATATCTTTTATTTAAAAACTCATTTACTGAATAAAAACATTTATCAACTAACTATGTTTTCAAACTATTTACTTTTTATTACAACAATTTTAGTTTATCAGGAATAGCATAATTGAAATCACATATGAGGTTCTTTTAAAATGGTTGGTTCTAATAAATGGTAAATATCATTTATTAGGAAATCTTGTGTTAAAATTACAAATATATTTTTGTAACATACAGTTCTCAGTCAAACAAACACACCAGTTTTAAAAACACGGTAGCGTCATCTAGTGCTAATTGTAGCATTTATTATTTCGCCAGACTAGCAATTCCCCGCTTAATTATGTAATTGTAAATACCGCAAAATTAAAACGAAAGCTAGTTTGTTTGATAAAAATCGGAAAAAAGACTACAAACGTAATTAAAATCAAAATCCCGTTTTAAAAGCACAGTAGCGTCATCTAGTGCTTAGTAGAGGCAGCTAAAAATAACATTTTATTCGCTATAATAATAATTTCCAATTAAATTATGTTATTAGAAAAACCGCAAAATAGAAAACGAAAGCTACTTTGTTTGATAAAAATTGGAAGAAATAAAGACTACAAACATAACAAAAATCATATCCCATTTTAAAAGTATAGTAGTGTCATGTAGCGCTCAGTAAAGGCAGCTAAATGTAACATTTTCGTGTACTTAACCAATATAACATATGCATTTAATATTAGCGACAAACATTGTATCGATTAAAACTATTCAAAATATTATTTAATCCTGCGTAAACAGCTTAAACCATTTCAAAATAATCTTTATTACAATTGACTTTCTAAGTACTTTTGAATCGTCCAACGTTTAAGCTTTTTAAATAAGTATTATTTTTTTGCTTGGGACCTTATTGCAGAAGCGCACACAAAGACCCCTGAATGAGTTATTATATTTTTGTAGTTTGGTGACAGCCACCGTTAATTTATTTTCTGTATTAAAATTGTGTATGTACATCACTTTTTATTGAAAACAAACCAATTTATACGAACGTACATTAAATTCTCGTATATTTATTGAGAAGCAACAGTTAGTATGTCTATTTCCTGTAATATCTCCCTAAAAAAGTCCCTAATCCTAAGATTATGAATTGATTTAATAGCTCTTTTCTGAAGCTGAAAAATTGTTTGTATGTCGACAGCATTTCCCTACAATAGGATTTCGTACGACATTACACTATGAAAGTAACTGAAGTATACTAATCTGGCAGTATCTATGTCAGTTAACCTACGTATCTTCATTACGGCATATGCTGCAGAGCTTAGTCTATTCGACAATTTATCAATATGTGGGCCCCACTGTAGTTTAGAATCTAATAATATAACCCTAAAAATACTGTGGTATCCACGAGGCACATGTTCTTATCTTTTATAATCACATTTATATCTACTTTTTTAACAATAGGTAGTACAAATTTTAGGCATTTTGTTGTTCCTTCATTAAGGATAAGATTATTTACATTAAACCAATGTACTACTTTAGCGACAGAATTGTTCACATCGTCATTTAAAGGTAGCCCTCTTTTAATTTTAAACAAAAGTGAAGTGTCATCCGCAAACAAATCTATTTCGTGATTATCCCTTACGAAATAACGCAAGTCATTTATGTAAATTAAAAACAAGAAAGAACCAAGTATTGAACCCTGCAGAACACCCATCTTAACTTTGGATCCAGGTGATATGTGCACACGGAACCTGTAAAGGGTCCGAGACGTTATAAATAAACGCGGTACACCCGTTCAAAATAGTTTTATTTATTTAGAAAATTTATTTTACTGGCTGACCCAGCGACGCGTAGTTGTGGCTCGACTGGAAGTCAACATTAATGACTCTTTTTCGCGGCACTAATAGCTGGTTTACGTATACACCTGTGCTGAGCTTTGCGTAATATACGCAGTTACATTGCAATATCATTCATCGCAATGATGTAATATCATCGCTACGGTGAAATGAAAATGCATTTCTATTACATCAAAAAATATAAACCTCACGTATTATTACTTTCTTAAGAACACTAGATTCCATCAAAAATATCGGTATAGTTGGTTATCGATAGTTCAGCAACAATGGTCATATCACAAAAGTTTATATCTCTACACTTTACATGCTCTTTGTCATTATGAGGAAGTATTTAAAAAAAAAACATTAGTTCCCGAAATCAAACTAGATGTCGCTACATCTCCATGACAACTCTTTCGGTTTTCTTTCATGTTTAAAAGTAAATTAGTTTTCAAAACTCAATAAACCGCTCATATTCTATTTGTACTTTTTCGTATTTGTATTGATATCTTAGTTTGGAACTTTTCAAATTTCAATTTTTTTTTATGTAAATATGTTGTCTTTGGTCCAATCGTTTCCAGCAAAAATCAAGTTTTGCTAGAGTCGCCATCTAGTGGCGGTGCTTTTTTAGTGCTTTCGTTTTTTTTAATACTTCCTCATTCTGCAGTCTATACCTTGTATAACAAAGCTGATTTTTTACATGAAGAGATTATTTTAATTACTTGACATGGCAGACTTGTGCGGAACATGTCAATGTGCGAAACGCGCAGATAAGCCTTTAATAATAAAAAATGTAGCAAATCTTGTCTATGATCAGTTTTTACTTACTCTATGGTTACAAGCACAAACTACATATTATACCTACCTAGGTCTGTTACAAGCTTTGACTTTGACATTTCGTCGTATTATTTCGCGGCTGTGATTAACTGAAAGCCATCAAAATGAATGAAGATTTTTTAATCCTAGTAATTTAAATTTAAATTACATTAGCAAACCAAAAAAATATCCTTTCTTATCTTATTAAAGTTGGTGAGTAAACTTAATCCAAACACAAACAATAATTTTACAAGTTTGAAAGTGCAAATGCAAACTCTCACTTCCGTTTAGACAGGAAAAGGAAGTCATGGCGGATTAAAAGACTTGAACCATTGAACCAATCTCATCATAAAACTCTATATCCTTATCCTCATATCCTGTTCTTACTTCAAATGGATGAATATGGCGCAAAATATTAAGTTTTGGCCTATAACAACAACTTAAACTTACGGAAATGTATAATTCCATTTACTTACATTCTAATGTAAAATTACAATACATTGATGAATAATAAAACCAACAAAACCTATTAATACTAAATAGCGCTTTGGGATGATACCGAAAGCAGGGAAAATAAACTGCAACTTTTGAATCAACTGTTTCTTTTCCAATGTGTAATCCCTTTTTGTATACTAATAAATGTATTGCTATCAAGAAATCAACAATGAAGTAGAAATTAGATTACAGTTGTCTATATAATACAGTGTTTTTGTTTTAGGAAACTGGAATAGTATCAAGGGACAACTGAATCCTTTCTTTATATTCTCTCCCTACTAAGATGACTACAGACATCTGTTCTGAAGATGTAATTGTCCAAATGGCTCCTCAGGTAGCGATGACAGTGAGTAATCCCAACATTAACTTTCATAACTTCAATGAACCTATTTAGCACTGTTTTTATTAATCAGAACTTCCTAAATAAAAATTTGAAAATTCATAGGTCTTATGTGGACAGAAATAAAAATTCCATAAAAACAAAGTCACAGCAAAGTGGGAATGGTTTAATAGAAAACAAAGTAACAAATTGTGTATTGTGATAGTGAGAAAACAAAAGTAAATTTAGTATGTATTATATAAAATTAAAATATCCTTGATTTGATGGTAAATAAATTTACAAATATCAACATAGAAGTGGACACTTGTGCAGAAATTGTGTACTTATCAAACATTAGAAGAGTATTCGTTATTTGGAGATAAAGATCAGGCTATAAACATCGGTACCTATGAGTTGGATCGATTTGAACCATCAGATGGGTAGTGATTTCAAATATTGTGTAATATATATTACCCAGTTTTTTTTTTCTCTGTAGCTATTATGCAGGGGAAGGGGGATAATGCAGGATGCCCTGAAGGAACAATGGGAAATATTTTATCGCCCCTCAGTATTGCTGTGTACAGTGTCACTTGTACAAAATTTATTTATAATATTTTTATGACCTGTGACTTGCATCAAGTAAATTGAATTGAATTAAAACTATTCATTTAAACAGACTACAATAAAAATGAATAATCTTAAATGCATGACTGCCAAGAATGAACTAAAAAGTAAAAAAAACTCATTCTATTATGGCTGTTTTAAAATTCTCATCGCAGTCCCACTTTATGGTCAACAGAGTGCAATGGGAATTTTAAGGCCAAAACGATACCTCCTTGTCTTTTTTCTAACTGCCCTGCGATTCTGTAAAAATCCAGACCCGAATTCAAATTCACTCAGGTGTCCGAATTCACTTCAAAAAGCGGCATCCGCTCAACTTTGAACATTTCATGGGGTAAATTAAGCGAGTTCCGAAATGATATAGGAATAGAATTTCTACACTCAATGACGTGAATTCGGACATATTAGTGACTTCGTAATCGGGTCTGGATTTTTACAGAATCGCAGGGGTGTTAGTTGGTTTTTGGCAGTCGTGTTTATGTACATGTTAGAGCGAGGGGGCCGGGGCCGGGGGCGGGGTGGCGCGCGGGGGGTCGGGGGGCGCGCTGGAGCTGGGCCGGCGGCTGCTGCTGGCGGCGCGTGCGGGCGACACCGCGCTCGTGCTCGACCTCATGGCCAAGGGGGCGCCCTTCACCGCGGACTGGGTATGGGTATACATTATACATGGTTTGCTTAGCCCGATTTACACTTCGATAAGTAGTCAGTCGGTGGCTGCCCGTCAGGCTCCCGCGATAAGTCCGTTTTCCTCAATTGATTTGGAATTCTACCCGCGGTGCGTTAAGGTTTAAAATCGAGTGGATACTTTTGACAGTTTTGTACAGTCCTGGAAGAGCACTGCTTATTTTGTCCTAGATTTCCGCATCTGTACTTTTTGTAGTTTGATATTTAAGATAATTTCTTTTTAATATTTGTAATGTAAAATTTTTAGAAACGTGTCCTGCTTATTCAGTATGTTAATTTCGCAAAAAATTTCGGGCTAAATTCCTAGGAATCAATAATAGTCTTAATTTATAAATATCTTTGTTTTCTTTATACATTCTATTTGTATTATCTTTTACAATGTAATCAGAAGGACGCATATTTAAATAGTTTTATTTTAAATAGTTTTATTTTATAATAGTTTTTATTAGTAATAGTTTTATTTTATAATAGTTTTTATTAGTAATAGTTTTTCATAATTAAATAGTTTTATTTTATTTAAATTCAAAATTGTCATATTTTATTATTGTTTCTTCACGTATAAAGACCACAAACATGACATTGGCGGAATCGTGTAAACGCAAATAGGCCATGAATTAAAAAAGAAGAAGAAGAGTAAATTTATTATTATATGTACTAGTCAAGCCTAGTCAGCCTTTTAATTTGGCAACCATTGACCGAGCTAGCCCGAACCATGGTACATCTTGATATTTTGACTGCGACCCTGTTTTCCGGCGAGGACAGTACTAAGGAGCTCCTACATCAGGAAATCCTGCGTACTGCGGACGTTTTTATTTTCTGCGGATAATAGTTCCCGAACTGTAAATCGGTCTTCTGGTATTACGGACGGCCGCAATCCCATGTACGTATGTGCAGCTGGGCACGTCGCCGCTGCACCTGGCGGCCGGCCACGACCACGCGGCCACGTGCGGCGTGCTGCTGCGGGCGGGCGTGTCCCGCGACTCGCGCACTAAGGTGAGTGTCCATCTGCACCATCGTAGCATATTTTCAGTGCATATTTCAGAAAATCTAAGTTTACTTAGTCAACGCCGCCCGAGCCCGCCTCGGTGGAGCTTCGAGGTCGGCCTGATACCCGACTTCGAAGTCATATCGAGGATCATCATATATTTATTCTTAAAGTATTTAAATTCGAGGGGCTGGATGACATAGGAGTAAATGCGTTCGGTCTGTGATACTATTTTACAGCAACTTTCGCCGGGCATAGGATGGGTGGTGATTCATTAAGTATCTCGGGCTTCGGAAGGCTCGTTACATCGTCGGGCCCGGCTGCTTCAGTAGTCATTATTAACACGCATCGATCCGCTCATTCTTTTTAGAAAATAAATAATCGTTGCGAGCTCAGAGACCGAATCTCCCCAGCGGACTATTATCAGATAACCCATCGGTTAGTCTGTGCAGAGAGCGTAAATCATACATCCATCTACGTCGCTCCAGTGAGATCATATTAAAGTAGCTAAGACGTTTAGAGGATTGAGACATTTTTTCGCGATCTACGTTGAATAGCTTCTATTCAATATGAGTCGGATAAATAGGGTACCAAATAGCCGAACAACACTCCAATACTCCAACTCATCAATGATCCATATAAAATTTATCATCGTTTTAAAAATTTTAAAAGGTTTGGCTCGGCGCAAAATACGATTAGCCTCACGGCGGTTATAATCATAACGGGGCCTAAAAGTAGGAATAACATCATAATATACTCCAAAATCACAAACGGTCCCATTTTAGATCCAGATCACTACCGTCGATTATATAACTAAAAAATCCTTCGATGCACTTCAACAAAACTATGCTGCCCCCGACTGAGCGACGGACCGATGCGATTACATAGAATATACCCGTAGAATAGATAGAGATGCCGATAGAGAAGCGACTCGAATATCTCTGCGAACCGGCACAGTATACTGATGCGCCGATAGTCGGCAATATTGCGATCGCCGCCGGACTTAAATACACGAGTAATTTTTTCAATTTTCCATCGGCATGAAAAAGTAATCAAGCCTAGGTAAAGAATCTACAAGTCCCAAAGCGATCGGCCGTTTAGTCCCCGATAAAAACGTCGGAGGATCCCCGAATGTATGCGGTGCGGTGTGCGGTGTGCGGTGCGCAGGTGGAGCGCACGCCGCTGCACCTGGCGGCGTGCGCGGGGCACGCGGGCGTGGCGGCGCTGCTGCTGCGGCACGGCGCGCTGGTGGACCCGCGCGACCTGCTGCGCATGACGCCGCTGCACTGGGCCGCCCAGCGGGGCCACGCCGCCGTGGCCGCCGCGCTGCTGCGCCACGGGGCCGACCCCGCCGCGCGCTCCAAGTTCGGCCTCACGCCGCTGCAGCTGGCGGCGCGGCGCGGCCACACCGAGCTGCAGCGCCTGCTGGAGGCCGCCGCGGCCGCGCGCGCAGTGCGCCCCCTGCACTCCGGTCGGTACTCTACTCTCGTCTTATATAGAATGCGTCGATGTTCGTTCCTCAATATCGTTCCTCTTGCAGAGCGTTCCGCGGAGGAGCCCGCCGAGTCCCCCGAGCGCCAGGTCTCTGCCCCCGTTCGAAGTAATATATTAGGTCTCCGCCTATGAAATTGTCGTCCTGTTCGATTTTGGTAGTCTAGCGCCGGTATAATTTATCACAGCTTCTTACCGATTGGAATGAGCGTTACCACAGATGTATACTGTTAAGAACTGAACGCGATGACGGACAAAGGAAAACCTCGCCCGTCTCCGACCGACCTCGGTCGATCTTTCGACTCCCCTGCTCCTATATGATAGCGGGCGACCTCGTCCTGCAAAACCCGAGAGGCAGGACGAAATACCTTTGAAGAATTCGTTGCCTCCCGTCAAGACTTTTTCATAAGCTACCGTTAAAAATGCATCGATTGCAACTATAACTACTTTGATTAATAAAAAAAAAGTACGTTAAATTATTTTATGAACAACGGCAATTTCATGGGTAAAGACCTATTATTGAAATTTAATAATTAGATTCCATTGTTTTATTGGTGGTAAATATTATTGTTTTATTAGAAGTTCCAGAAATAAAGTCTCCGATAGAAGTGACGGATCGGTGCCGAACGACGAAAACGAAACAAACGCAAGAAATGCCTATAAAAATAGAAGAAGAGGTAGAGGTAAAGTACTCTCTTCAATAACAATTAATATTATTTATATTTTTATTAAGAACGGCCCCCCCAATTGCAATTTCCGACTGATTGTGACCCGCAACTTAACACGTGTAAATTATAGCCTATATGAACCCCACATGATGTAGCTAGGTAGGTAAAAAAATACCAAATACTCCTGATAGGGCATATGAAACTACTGGTCTTTTTAGTAATAGCAGAGATATGATGTTTCGCTTTAAGATTTTAAACTTTATGAGTTATATCCTAGTCAATTTGTACATAGACTGGTATTTCCTTGATCATAACATTAATAACCTATACGTAGAGCAGTGCAATTGTCTATGCTATTTATATCAGCTCATCGGAGTTTATAATCAAGGGATGGCATAAATCTTTTTATCGTCAGGAACTAAGCTAAATAAAATTACATTTCAAGAATTTAGGAAAGTCTAAAATGAAGTTTTTACAATATCGGTCTAATATCGGACCCCTGGGGTACGCCACTTAGTATTTTTTTCTTCCCTAAAAATACATAGCCGATTTTCACTCTAAATATATTGTTAAGAACCCGTCATCAATATCATTTCCTAATATGTCAAAAAATTCAAGGTTTTGCAAAAGTTTACCAATACGAATGTTATCGAATGCCTTTTCATAATCTATGTTCTAAACTTAAATAAGAATCGTAAATGATCATTTTTATTTATTCACATTCACATATAACTACTTTACTTAAGAGGGTATTCGATTTTATGGTCCAATTTAATTTCAAAACCTACTGCTATATTCCTTTCAATGGTATGGTGAACGTAATAGTGATTTATAAATGTTTAAAATAGCAATCGCTTTAGGATCTCGCGTCGGTCGCGTCGATCAGGCTCCATCCCGCATCAGCTGAAGCCACGGCGACTATGGCTTATCGACTGTCAATAAATAAAACACTCGTCCCGTTATTTTAGCTAGGGAGCTACATTTCAGTCGCGTCGGGTTTCTTACGATCTCGAACAACGAGCGAACATTACAATTTTAAATCGATCAATGTTCGCCCACTACGAAAGCGAATGTTAATTCGGGAACACAACATCGACAACGTAAAACGACTAAATTCCGAAAACCCTTCGGTGACACAAACGTAGGAAATAAAATAATGGGACAAGTGTTTTATTTATTAACAGTCGATAAGCCGTAGCCGCCGGAACCAAAGAGGGTGATGAACGATGCAGGGGGGCGGTTAATCGCCCGCGAGTGTACAATCGAGAGATGAAATAAATAATAGTAACCGCGTCCTTAGGCGCCGACGGCCGCCGCCGCGCTGCTGCGCCGCCACGGCATCGCGCTGCTGCCGCCCGACCCGCGCACCACCGCGCACGCCGCGCTGCAGCACGGCCGCACGCTCGTGCTCTCCGGTGGGTATCTGCACGTATATGTACATACACGTACCCACACACCCACACACCGACCCTGACATTGCTTGCGTGCGCAGACGCGGGCCGGCTGATGCTGCAGGAGACGGCGCGGCCCGAGGGGCAGCCGCCCCCCGCGCCCTGTGCGACCCCCGCCCCCGCCCCCGCCCCCGCCCGGGACTCGCCCAAAAAGGTACGTACAGGTCGGGCGCGTAAAACGGTATTCGTCAGTTTTCCGGCGACCGAATTCGGATGTCCCGTATTAATTCGCCCCGCCTCCCCGTTCCGTCAGGTGAAAATAGTCCAACTGGTGGGCGACAGCAAGACGGCGACGAGACGCGGCGCGGGCTCGCCGGGGAAGCCCCGCCCCCCCGTCAAGATCATCATGAACAAGAGCAACTTTCAGCGGCTCGTGGCCGCCAACGTCCCCCCTCCCTCGGCCGCCGCGCCCCCCGATGACGTCACCCGGCTGAAGCATCAGCTGGCCGCATCGCAGAAGACCGTGGCGCGACTCACCGAAGAATTGAAACTGTGTCGCGCGAAACTGGCGCAGTACGAGGGGCCCTGACCCCCGCGGGGTGTCCCCGAGACGAGTATCCCTGGCATACGATCCGTGGCGTCTTTTGCCCGCTGTGAGAAAACTCTAAAATAAATTGTGCGCACTTTTGTTTAGATTTCCCTCGTGTCGAGAAACCGCGGATCCTCCTCTTTGCTCCATGAATTCGGAAACGGTGTTTCCGACTCGGTCATCTATCCCAAACTTATTAAAACGTAACCGTAATAATGGCCGAGATGTCGTATCTCCGAGAGCTAGACGGTATGCCGGGAATACTTTTTTCAGGAATCGTTCGTTCGCTTACGTCGTGAACAGAGTGCATCTATGGATACATACCTATGTGATACATGTGAATACCTAAAGTGAATCGTATAAATCGAGTGACTCTCTAAACGAGTGAGACTGTAAATATTTAGATTACGACTATGTTACTTTTTATCAAAATTGCCAATTTAGACTTGTGAAAATTCTTTTGTGAAGACTTCTAGACTGAATGATATCATTCTTGGCTTACTTCTGCTGTCTGTTCTGACAATAATAATAATTTATTCTCAATCTTCCTTGCAACTGACTAATTTAGAACAGCTCATAATAATACATAAACTGTAACCGAATGATTCAACTATTAGGTTTTTCAAATGATAGATATTCTACGAATGTAAATCTATCAGTTTTTTATATGTCCACGAAAAGTAAAAAATAAGCTCTCAATAAATTATACATTTTTATTGCCATGTTGACTAATATTAGGAAAATAAATAAAAAAAAAATATTTTAAAAGTTCTTTTTATTTACATTTAAATTATATAATACAAAAGATACCGCCACAGATTTATTTTAGTGCTTTATTTTAGCCTCTTCTTCATTGGTAGGTAAAAGGTGTTAAACAGCTGCGTTTATCTCCCATTTTATTCGGTATAGAGTATACGTTGAACACATTGGCAGAGAAGCTAGCGAAAATTGGGAAGGAAGAGTCTGTATAAGAATATAAGAAGTGGACTATTTAAGGTAAAATACAGCATACCCGTCTGAAAATCGGATCTAGATCGATAAAGTGTGACCGATGTCATGATGGTGGATCACGTTCGAAATTAAGCTCACATAGGTTAAAACAACATCGGTTCTCGCGGAGGATAAATCAGAAGATACATAAATAGCAAAAAATTCTCGGTAGACATATATGGACAGAAATTAGCCGAATCGAAACGAATCAACTCTGGAGTTTTCCATATTTAGCTAAGGGTCGACGCCTTCAATATTCAGCAGGGGAGAGAAACGACCCCTCGTATTCGATTTTAAGGCGGCGCTGACAAATTTAATTGCAAATTCGAGACCTACAATAGTGCTTTCCACCACGGGGAGCATTCCGGCCGATCGCAACGCGCAATCACCTCCGTCAGGCGGAGTGGTGGCGCTGCGTGCGCGCCTGCAGCACGTCGCGGAACTGCGCCAGGATGGCGTTCTCCCGCTTCGCGCGCTCCTCCTTGCTGAAGGCGGCCAGCGCGCGCTTCTCGTCCGCCGAGTAGATCTGGTTCTCCTTGCGGATGCGGACCGCCTCCATGCGGCGGTGCCTGCTGCCGCTCATGACGTACCCGACGGCCTCGTAGGAGGCGATCTCGTCGGAGGTGAGGCCGATCTCGCCGCGGCGCGGGATGCGCTTGCCCTCGGCCACGAACGCGGCCATGGCGGCGCCCTCGCCCGGCAGCAGCGCGCGCCCGAAGTCGCGCGGGCCCAGCGCCGGGCCCACGCGCGGCGCCGGCCCGTACGCGCCGCCCTCGCCCGCCTCGTCCGCCTCGCCCGCCTCGCCCGCCGCCTCCGCCGCGCCGCGCTCCGCTGCGGGATTACATAGTTAGGTTTATATTTTGTATTATCGCCTAAAGATTAATGAGACTCGACAGATGAGCTCCTCACTTCCTTTCTCGACCCAGATTTCCTCTTCGCCGCTCGAACTCGAATCGTCGCTCGGACTCTTTGATTTTTTCTTAGCTTTCTTTCGTGCCTTTTTGACGCGCTTCAATTTTTTTTTCAACTTTTTCAGCTTCTGTTTTGTGTCTTCTTTTGAATCTTTCGACTTCTTCCTTTTCTTCTTTTGTTTACCTCTCTTGGAACCGTTGCTGTCGGCCGTTTCCTCTTCGGAACTGCAACATTACAACACAAGAAATTATATCTTAACTATGTAAAAAATACAAACAATTTAAAAATTTTCATCGACTCGTAATTCTATTAACGTCCCCCTGCTGGACAACAGGCCTTTCCTAGGGATAGAATCAAATTGAATATGGAGATTGAGCCATCACTCATCTGTAGTGTATTGATGAGTGTTAACGGCTGCAAATGCAGCCGAAACTAACTTCTAAACGTGTCTTTCAAAGCAAAGAGGACGATGAGATATAAAATTTCTGGTCACCCATCCAATGACCGGTTCTTGCAATGTTGCTTGTTGCTTTCTATCGTGAAAAAGAAGAACAATGGTATACTAAGTTTGTCTTGGCAATCATTTGATTATGATTTATAAACATAATATAACACATCCATATCATCCAGCATTCTAAATAAAAAAAGCTCTGTGCTCTGAAAACCCTTACTCCGGTCGAAGTGGAGACTTGCCCCAGACTGCAGACACCCCTAATTGCCCGATCCTTTCCCTCTCCTCTCTTCTTGCATCCAAAAATTCTTCTTCTTGTGGTTTGTAGCGAGACCTAGGTAGAGGACCAGATCCTCCACCTAAACCTTATGAAAGAAAGAGAAATTTAATATTATTGAAGTTTCCCAGGAGTTGACATAAATGAAAATAGATTTAGGGAGACAAGAAGGTCCTCCATTTAACCCCTATTAATTACAATGACTGTAACTTATATGGACTATACAGATACTGTACAACAAAATGGTGCAAATGTTGTTGCACCACTCTCTAAACTAAACAAACCTAAAAAAATAATTTCGATCTGTGATAACATTGTTCAATACTCATATTTAATTAAAGAAATACAATAACACCCTTATACACTGAAATAATATAATTTTTGGTTCACAGAGTAGGGATTCGGACAACCTCCAAAAAACTGTTCGAAATTAATCAATATGGATGCATATTTCTACAAAAAATATTATTTTATATAGATAAGTCTTTTTATGTACCCAAAACTATAATTATAATGATTTATTGAAACCGCGTCTAGTTACACAAAAATGCTAAACAAACTTATAGAGAAAATATTTTTATGTGTTTGAACTAGATTTATGTGTCTGTCATACAAAACAAAGGACTTATTAAATTAATTAATGATTAACTATCACTATGCATAAAATATTTCATTAAGTTTCATATAATAATTAAGCAAATATAGGTATTATACAATCTGTGGCTAAAGTAAACATAACAGTATTATACATATTAAATATATGTATAATATATTACTTATTGGTGAGCTTGTTTGACTAGACATGTGATTTGATTGACAAAAATACTGTTTTACTATATTTTTATGTTTAAAATTTAAATGTGATGACTTCAGGAAGACGTGATATCATTAAAAAAATGATATGCTTTTTCTATATTCAAACGCACAAATAAATAAATAAATTACCCTAGTAAATCATTACACTTTTCCAGCAGTTTCCACATTTTACTAGATAGTTATACTACCAATTCACCCACAATTTGTTTGATGTGAAAATATCTATCCTGTACCTGTCAGAATAGAACAGGTATCTTACAAACAAAAGGAATAATAGTTTCTAAAAAAATTAGACAATATCAAAATGCTACATGATTTGTATCCCACGAAAGATAAAAAAGAAAAATAAAGTGTTATCAATCAGTATTTAGTAAAGTTTCATGATTCCTAAAATAAAATTAAAAAGTCTTGGAAAATTGTTAATGAACAAACTAGAAATACTTCTAGCCAAAGTACAGAAATGGCTATACATAGAGTAATTTATTTTATCTTGAGTGATTTATTTTGTCTTTATGGATGATTCACAGAAATTTTCAAGCATCTTCTGTGACTTATTCAAAGCATTCGAGAGTTTAAGACATGATATTTTATTTATAAAATTAGATTACTATGGTTTAAGAGGAAAATAATTTTTATTGATTGACTCATATGTAAAAAAATAGACAACAATTACTAAGAATTATACTAAGAATTAACAACACTCTCTAAACTAGAAACTACGAATATAGGAGTTCCTTAAGGGTCTATATTGGGACCTCTCTTGTTTCTGGTTTACATCAATAACCTTGCAAACTGTTTACCCAAGGGAAGTTTTGTCATTCTTTTTGCAGATGAAACTCATTTGAGGATAAAGGATGTACATGAAATGATAAACTAAGAAACGCTAAAAAACTGGTTTGGAAGAAATTGTATAACTTTAAATGCTGATAAAACTATATTCATGAACTATAGAGTACGTAAAGAAAAACAATATAATAAAACTGTAGAAACAACCTTGACATTGATTACAGAATTAGTCATGAAGGACACAAAGGATCTGAAAAACTAATTGCCAATAATGCTCTACTTAAATTGATACCTCTAGTGAATAAAAAGACACTTTTTTTCCTGTTTACTTTGCTTATTGTCATTCAATTCTTAGCTATGCAATCAATATATGGGGCAATGAAGCTGATATACAATGGGTATTAATTTGTCAGAATAGATCAGTAAGAATAATAAATGGCTTATCTAAACAGGATTCTGTTAAGAAGTATTTCAAAATAAACAAAATAATGACTGTATTATCTATATATTTTCAAATCATTATTGACGGTGCACTTATGGGGGAGGAATTACTACCTAAGAAAAAAGATTTTCACAGATAAAACAAACAAAATAGGGACAAACTTAGTGTGCCCACTATTAGGTTGAACAATACATATAACCAGGGATTTAGTTTAAAGATCGACATGTTCAATAAACTGCCTCTTAAAGTTGCTGATTTTCCATTACCGACATTTAAACAGAAATTAAAAATATTTTTTGTAACACATCCCTTTTATAACCTGGATGAATTTAGAAGCTGATTCTTAATTCCAGATTCCTCCTTCAAATTATTGTCTGATCCTATACTGATATGAAAATTTACAATTTTGTTAAAATTTATCATTTTTTAAAGCATGTTGTACTAATAGGGAAAAAGTTAATTTTCTTTAAAACAAATTTAGGCTGTAATGGTGTGTCATACAACAGACATTCATATTTCATCCACGTCCACAGTCATATTTCATCCTAGGTATCCACATGAAAACTTTTTGTCTTTAATCTTTAACATCCTTTCTTTTTATTATTCACTTTTTGAAATTAGAATTTTGAGTAATCATAAATGTATTTTATTAATGTCAGTTTGTAAAAAAAATCTAGTGAGAACATGATAATTTAATCATATAAATCAAATAATAATAAAGATTATTATTTATTATACAAGCTTATCACTATTATTATAGGTAATTATTATTATTATTATTGAAATATGAAAAATGTAGACATTTATCTTCCTGAAATATCTACTAAGTTCTACCTATTACAGAAAACCCATAAATTAGGTATTTAACTATTTTACTTATATTATTATGGTATTCATACAAACTGTTTTTATATTCTCCTCTTCTTATTAACCTCTAATAAATCAAATTTTCAAGCTTAGTCAGCCTTTAATTCATTTGCCTAAGCATCGAACCCATCACAAGGCCATAGTTCTAAATAGTCTCCTGCCCAAAATAGTTTGAAAATATTACAACTATTAACAATACCAACAACATCTAATTTCTATTTAAATTAAATCAAATATACCTCCACCTAGGCCACCTCCATTAAATTCTTTGTGGCTGTTTGATTCTCTGGTACTCCGAACGTAGCTTCTTCCACGGTCCCTACTATGGTTCCTATTTCTTTCTCTACTGTGGTCCCTATTTTTTTCCCTGTTTCTGTGGTCAGCGTGATCTTTGCGTCGATCAGTCTCGGATTCCTTACGCCTTTCTCGACTGCGATCGTGCCGGTCCCTGTCACCGCTTTTGCACATCTCGCGGCTTCGACTACGGTGTCTGTCATTACTGCGACGACGACTACGGTCACCCTCACCTCCCATCGTGGAACTTGACTTTTAAATGGTTCTACTAATCATATAATTAATATTATATATTTGACTTTACCATCGGTTCGATATTACGCTACAAGTTGAAAAGTACGATGAGTTATGAAGTTTTCGTAATTCTTTATTCAACAGAAAAATTAAACACGAAACATTATTTACAACACAAAAACACTTCATACACAGCACATTTTTTTTTTTTTTTTTTTTTTAAAGGTTTTACCGGCCCTGGCTTCCATGGCCTTCAGCCGTGTCTTCATATTGAGATAATTTATATATTTACAAGCGTTTCCTTTATATATCTGTATAAGTATCTATATATTTCTGGGATCTGCAATAAATCTTGTAATTGGCGGGGTACATCTTTCACAGTTTTTCCTATATTTGTTGCTAATATTAGGCGTTGCATAGCGAAATTTGGACATTTCAGAACGAGGTGTTCAAGATCTGCAATTTCGTTTAGTTGACAATATTGACAGATGTTGCTTTCAGTCAGTTTTATTTTAAACAAAGTTGCTGGGATTCGGCAGTGTCCTAACCGCAATCGGTTGATGGTGCTATAAAATTCTCTATTAACAGCTCTAAAAGGTATATACCATGGTGTTTTAGGTATGGTCTTCTGTATACCTCCGTACCATCTTCCTTTTTCGCACTTATCCAATATCCAAAATTCTTCCCATAACTCCATTACCTTACCTCTAATATAAGATTGGCAATCGTTTAGATGAAGTTCGTAACTTAAATCTAATGTACAGAGTTCACTATGAGTAGCTTTATCAACAATTTCATTCCCTTGAATTCCTACATGAGAACGAACCCAAGTAAAAGTAATATTTTTTCCAATCATATTTAACTGATATCTAATATGTTGTATTAAATAATTATCCTTATAGTGCCTACTTACATTTTCTAATTTAGTAAGTGCACTAAGAGAATCTGTGACGATCATAAACTTAGATAAAGTTTTATCTACATATTTATTTTGAATATAAATTAAAGCTTTGAGAATAGCATAACATTCAGCAGAAAATACACTGCTTTTATTATCAATTTCATAAGTTATAGTAATCTTTGATACTGAATCATACAGTGCACATTTAACTTTATCTGTAGTTTTACTACCATCTGTATAAATTATTATATAATCTCTATATTTCTGTAATAATTCTAAGAAAGAAAATTTATCATTTGCTCTATCAAATAAAATGTTTTGTAAATTAATTTTGTACTCATATTTATAATATGGTAATAACAGATGCTTATTTAAATTTGGGAATAATAATATCATGTGATTCATTATCCTTATTAGATTAGGTGGTTTATTATTATGTATATTAAGAGCAGAAACATACACTGCATTACTAGCTTCACCTGTATAGCCAGGGATTGTTAATTTTTCAATTAATTTTTGATTTTGTAAGTATATATTTTTAAGACAGAATCTTTCTGCTATTAACATTCTACGTATAGCTAAAGGCATTATTTTTGTTTCTACTTCCATAGATCTTATTGGTGTTGAACACATTGCTCCTGTTATAAGTCTTAAGCATTTATTTTGTAAGACATCCAGCTTCCTAAGTAGGTGTGGATTCACTTCATAGTATGCTAAACAGCTGTAGTCAAAATGAGATCTTACTAAACTTTTATACAAAAGACTTAAAATCTTAGGATCAGCACCCCATGTAATTCCTGCTAAGCATCTTAATATATTTACAGCTTTGTGAGCATTCATAAGGATATAATTAATATGACTTTGAAAATTTAATTTACAATCAATCACTACACCTAAAAATTTTTTTTCATTTACATGAGGTATATTTACATTGTTATATTGAATATTACTATTTACAGATGTACTATTATTTACAACTAAGATGGAACTTTTTTCTGGATTTATATCAAGACCTAAAATGTTCTTATAGAAGTGGTGTAATTGGTGTAATGCTGAATTAAGGTAATGTATAGCAGTGTTTATATTTTCATCAACACAATAAATAACTAAGTCATCTGCAAACTGTAATATTTCTATATTTTCTTGTGTTACATATTGTAAAATTTGGCTAGTATATATATTATACAGTAATGGCGATAAGGTTCCACCTTGAGTTGTACCTTTTTGTGCATATTTTGGGCCATAAAGACGATTGTTAAATTTTACATATACTTGTCTATTATATAAGTAATTGAATATCCATTTACTAACATGGCCAGGAATTTTCAATTCCTGTAATATGTTTATTAGCTTTTCTAAATCAATATTATCAAATGCACCTTTGACATCCAGAAAACTACAAACAACATTTAATTTACCACTTGCTTTTGCACGTTTCAGATCAGAAAGTAATATTGTAAAACTATCTGCTGAGCTACGCCCTCTCCGGAAGCCATATTGCACAGTTGGAATTATACCATAATGCTCAACATACCACTCAAGTCTGTTCTTCAACATAAGTTCGAAGAGTTTGCCTATACATGAAGTGAGAGAAATGGGCCTATATGAATTATAATCTGAGGGTACTTTATCAGGTTTCAAAATGGGGATTATACACTGAGTTTTCCATGATTCTGGAACTAACTGTTTACTCCAGAGGGTGTTAAATATTTGCAATAAAATATTCAAAGCATTATTATGAAGATGTTTAAGTAAGATATATGGATAATCATCCATGCCAGGAGCTGTATCACGTCTTGAGGAGAGACTATTAATTAATTCAGTATGTGTGAATGGCTCAATTATAAACATAGATTCTGAATTATTATTATTATTGTTAAAATAAGTTTGTAAGTTATCTAAATTTATATTATTAATGTGTGCATATTTGTTTAGAAATTCTGGTATAAATTCATCATTTTTGGAGTAGTTACTATAGACTTTAGCTCTTTTGAACTTTTTTATCATTTTCCAGATTTTACTTAAAGGTGTTGTTCTATTGAAAGATTCACATAGTTTCAACCAATTCAGCCGTTTCTGTTCACTAATAACTTTTTTTTTTTGGGCATCTGTTTTTTTATAATTGATATAATTTTCTAGAGTTGGTTGATTTCTATACTGTTTTAAAGATTGTTTTGTTTTTTCTACTGCTAGTTGACATGTTTGATTCCACCATGGAGCTGGAAGTTTAGTTTTGATCATATGTTTGGATGCCGATTTTTTTGGTACATATTGATTTCTTAAATTACTTAATATTTCGGTGAACAAATTATATAAAGTTAAAGGGTTGTTTTCATCAAAATCAATAATGTTAAATGCTGTTTCGGATTTTAAATAAAATTCTACCCAGTTTGCCTTATTATAAAGGAATTTATCTTCATATTGCACTGACATATATTTTGGAGCATCTATTGTCAACTCCACTATGGTAGGCAGGTGATAACTGCCCAGAGGGTCATCATGTACTCTCCATTCACAGAGGGGGGCTAAATTCGGGCTCACTAAGAAGATATCTATGGCTGACGGATTTTGATGTGGTCGATTAATTGTTGTATAATCGCCAGTATTAAGTATGCATAAGTTATTATCATCTAACCAATTGTATAAGGCTTGTCCCCTACTATTAATGTCCAGACAACCAAAGGCAATATGATGACTGTTAAAATCACCTGCTATAAGTATAGGTTTTGGTAGAGACTGAATTATGTTATTAAGGCTGCTAATATCAAACCTAGTGTATCTAGGAGGAGCATAAATACATAAAACTGTAATGGTACCAGTGTTTACTGTTAAAGAAATTGCTACATTTTGCATTTGTTCATAAAAAGGAGTACTAAGAAGTTTGTATTTCAAATTATTTTTTACAAGAATACCTACCCCACCATGAGAATTAGAAGCATTTCTAAAGTGGGTTTGATAATTTATGAATCTAATATTGTCATGTTTGTCTGTTAACCATGTTTCATTAAGTAAGCATATATCTATATTATTAGTTTCTAGAAAAGAATTCACTAATGCTTTTTTACTCAAGAGACTTTGTATGTTATGTTGAGCAATAATGATATTTTGTTCATTTGTACAGGCCATTATTTAGATAATTTTGATGAAAGAACGTCTTTAATTCTTTTGGTTGTCAAAGGTGCATCATCCTTTTTATTTCCTAATTCTACTAATGTTTGAATGAGTGCATTTATTATTAAGGGATTATTTACAATGTCAATAAAACTTTTATTATTAACCTCTATCTTATTATTTACAATATTATTTTCTTTATTTTTCAAAGCTGGAAAATTATCTTTACTTTGTGTATAAGAAGAGTCATTGATCACAGCTGCAGCATATGTCTGTTTATTCTTTTTTTCTAAATTTTTCTTAATTTTTATTGGACATGTTGCTGAGATAGATAAATGAGACCCTCCACAGTTGATACACTTAATATTTTCAGGCATATTACATTCTTTATAGAAATGATCTCCACTACAAATTGAACATTTTTGTGTTTGATTGCATATTTTTGCTGAATGATTAAATTTAAAGCACTTAAAGCATTGTAGCAAGGGTGGTGTGTATTGGTGGACCTTGTATCGCCAGAGATTTAAATACACGAAGTCTGGTAAAATAGTACTTAAAAAAGTAACACTTACAGTCTCTGTTGGAGTTAATTCCCCATTTACCTTTTTCTGAAATCGTCTCACAGATAATATTTCATATGGTGATGAGAGCTGTTTGTACAATTCTTCATTAGAAATTTCTTTTGGTATATACCTTATGACACCAATTTTCTCAACTGACTGAGCTGAAATATATGCCTTGAAGTTATGTCGCGTTAGAAAATCCTCTGCATTAAGAAAATTATTGGCTGTGTTTGGTTGTCCAAATATGACCCCTATCTTATGTGCGTTTATTCTGTTTAATCGTTTTATTCCTTTGATATCTCTTTGAAGAATTTTTGTCAAATAAAATGGATTTTTGTTTCCAATTTTCTCATTAGTAACGCTTTCTAGGTAAACTATAAATTCCGCCTGCCCAGCATTTTCTGCAAATCGTCTTTTATAATTGTTTTTGACAAAAGGCTTGTATAAATTTTTTTGATCACTTTCTAAGTTTTGGCCCTTTTTTCTTTTCTTTGGTTTACTAAATTGAGTGCTATTATCTGCATCAGTATCTTCATTTTCCATTTCTGACATTATTACTCGATATTTAAAGCAAAATTGGTAGTCAAATCAAGATATTACACAAATTAAATTTGCAAGAAAATTTAAAAACGCGCGCTCGATTCGACTTCCCGCCAAAAAGTCCCATATATATACACAGCACAGATTATTTTTCACAGACAGAACAGTAGAAAGAAAGAACAGGGCAAAAAGAGTATTACTCTAGAGATGTGAAAAAATAATCGATAATTGAAATAATAGATTAATAATCGAAGTTAATAAGTAAAATTAAATTTTAATACGTAATTTTATTCTTATCAATAATAGTTTATTAACGAACTTTTTTAATAAGCATTAAATCAATTATTAGCGATTTTTCATCTGCGGGTTGCATATGAAAACATCGTATGGTCTTCATAATATTACATTAATAATAATAATCATTTATTTATTTCCTTCACAAACTTATGTAATCTAGTTATATAAATTAAAAAGAAATCAAATCGTACAGTTTGTGAGAGGCTGGTGCCTAACAGTGGTTTTCTCTCGACACACTCGAAAAACTCTTTGACTACACTCATTTGTCAGTTTCTCGGGTCCAGAGTGAGATATAGGATGGGCGTATCTGAGAAAAGTGACATTTGAGTGTAGACAAAACGTTCTCGAGTTCGTTATGCTACACGTGCAGGTCTGATTCCAAGGATATGTTGAATTCACATAATGCAGGGTTATAAGAGTTCAATGATGATAAAAAATTAACGAGAATCAAGTAAAGAAAACAATATGTTGTATTATGTTATGAGTAATATATATGTATGATATAGTTATGAGTAATGTTATAAGTGTAATGAGGGAGTATTTAAGAAAAAAAAAGCACTTAAAAGCACCTCCACTAGATGGCAACTCTAGCAAAAGTTGTTTTTCCAGGAAACGATTGGCCCAAAGATAGTCATTTCCGTTCCTTTTAACTAACATATTAAAAAACCGAAATTTAAAAAGTTCGAAACTTAGATATCAATACAAATACGAAAAAGTATAAATAGAATATGAGTTGTTTATAGAATATTGAGTTTTGCTAGAGTCGCCATTTAGTGGAGGTGCTATATTAGTGCTTTCGTTTTTTTTAAATACTTCCTCATTATTGTTCTATAAGAAATAAGAACAAGTTGATGATAGCTTCCTACAGGTTACAGAAAATACTAAAATCCTAGTAATTAAAACACAACTAGGTATTATTTGCCATTAATCGATATTATAAAAACCATAATAAAATTATCTACGAAAAAAGGATATTATACCGTTGACGAATATCTTAATGATAAAATAGGATGGCGATAGAAATGTTTCATGTACATATGTCATGTCATACTCTTAGAAATCGGTGGTATCGTATGCGTCGAGTCGTTACGTTCCTTAAAATATGGATGAGCAAAGCGATAGCTGGAGTCATGCTAGTAAATGGGTTTTGCTAATTTGGATGAGTGTGCTCGGGACTACTTAATTTCTTCATTTTTTTTAAAGCCGATAAATATTTTTTAGTGTAGTTTTTCGATATCGATATTTATCGGTTTTCCTATATATTTCCGTTGCAGCCCTGCACTGTGCCCTGCATAAAACCATAAAACCAGCGCCAACCGTAGCCGCCAGCGGTCGATTTCTTTAAGTTCGATTAGAGTTGTTCTATCACGAACTTTTCATTTTTATAACAAATAAGCAAGTAGAATCTGAAATTACCAGTAAAAATGAAATTGTCGACGCCTAGATATACGTGTTGTTTGTTTTTCCAAATTTTATTCATGCTGTGTGATCTGCTATTTAATTGTTTGAGCTTATTTCCAAGAACTAGAGACGGTTTGCTCGTCATATTTATGTAAGTGGAAATGTAATTTTATCTATTTTATATATGTTTTATGTCTTTCAAATATAAAAATTCAATGGAAAAATATTTTAAATTCCAGTTTTCAAGATTTGTTCCTGATTTTGTCGATAACAACAATGTTGATGACGTTTTTCTCCACTTACTTATTTCAGGTGAGATTTTAATTTGATTTACTTAATTATTCAATAAAATCATTACAATGGAGTATAAACGCTTGCGATTGTAAGTGATTAATACATTTATATTATATTGACAGGCTGGTTTGGTGGAGGTATTGATCCGCAAGTTTCGCGCGGCGGCCGCGGTTTGCGTGGCGTATGTCGCAGCGAGCGTCACATTACACACGGTCTGGCTTCTTGAGAAATGGACCGAGCATGACTCCATCTCCACACCAATGCTTATATTCCTTTTCACTGTGCAGAGATGCCGTGAGTGTTTATTTGTCTATATCATTAGGATATGTGATGTGTTTCTCAAATTAAATTTTTAGAATGTATAAAATAATGTTTAATTTGATTTCATATTAATTAAGTTGTTATCTTACAGTGTCACCGTGCTATTACTTTTTCTACAAAAGAGCTGCTCTTCGCATCAGCGACCCTCGTTTCTATGAAGATATAGACTGGATCAATCAACAGCTGCAAACACATTGAAGAAATTATAATTAAGTGGATTGAGCTTGGTAAATGATCCCCTCTTCAATTTAGTACTTGTATAAGTAATATGGAACTATGAGACTGTTCCATACATGAGCTTAATGACTAAAATGTCATATAAATTTTATAAGAGACTGTTTGAGGCCAATATCAATAATAGGAAATTTAACACATACAATTAAATTAGTAAAGTTGTATCTGTATGATTATAAAGTTCATATTATGAGTTGATAATGAATTTATATAAAAACAAAACAAAGTGTAACTTATTTTAGTCAAAACCCTACACAGAAACTAATCAAATCAAAGAAGCTCTATAAATATGAAATATCTATCGGGTGCATGTGGTCAAATTTTGATGTTGAAGGTAAAGAGAGAATGTAACATGTGAGAGTAAATGTTTAACCATCATGAAACCACAATGCTGAAAATTGATTATTGTATTAATTTTATTACTTAAAATACAATTGATAGTTATGTACAGAGTTGGAATGCGGCAGGGGATAGATAGCAAGAGTTGTTTTAAATGTTACAATTGATGTTGTTTGTTGTTGCATTCAAGTTCATTGCACTCTCTACCCCTATGTCTAACTATAACTATAAATGTAAATGTGTAATCAAATTAATGTATTAATAATAGTATCAATGTAATATGACGTGATGTGTGAAAAAAATATGTCTTCTTGCTGTTGTAGTTATAAAAAACATCTAAAACCGACAAAAATAATATTGAACATAGGGGCTCAACTGTGCTATTATAAGTAAACTCTGTGTCTTATATGTTTCTATCAAGGTGTTTAATATGAATGGAAGTGTCAATAAAATAATATATGTATCAAATTGTTTTTTATTTAAACATTTGAGAAACAAACAAGTACAGTCAGTATGAATATACAGTCTAAAAAGTAGGTAATTATTGTACTATATTGGAAATATATCTTTTATATGTTTAACATTATAGTGATAGTTTACAAGAAATAATTTCCAACACAAAAATATATATTTTATTGTTTTGCATGCTAAAGATTTTTATTAGAAAATTTTAAATGTACAATTTGTATCTCTTATTAGTTATTGTAGTATGTCGATTGACAACATAATATCACAATAAACAAAAATGATGTATTTCTGCACCAATTATTACATTTGTGAGCAGCTGGACGTCTGGAAGTCATTTCTTTCCCTGCAGATATTACCAATTTCGTATTTTTCACCATTCACAACCGACAGAAATTAATTGTGTTACTATACAATTATTAATTGAACTTATTAGATTTGAATTTTTCATGTAGCTAATTTCATAATGAAATTAAATCTAGGCTAACGATCGCAGAAGCCACATCGGCTCCCGGTCGACCGTCCCTGGTTCTAGTGCTAGAATGAGGATCTGCACAGCGGGCAGTTGGAGCGATTGCTTGTCAGGAACCACTTGTGCTGTGGAAAATAAATTCCGTTAATATTATTGCTGAATTTCACATTAAATACCGTTTTCTAAATAAATGAAAGATGCTATGATATAAATATGTCTAGATACGCAATACATACCAAAAGGGTGAAGCTACTACAACTAAGACGTTTGTCTTCATTCCAATACTCATTCAATTCCCGCTGAGAAAGTACAAAAAATTGTGGAAAAATACTGTTCTCTTAAATAAATACACAAAATATGAAAGAATATTATGTTTTAAATATGTCAGAGAAAAAAAAAATTAAATTATCCAAATCAAAATTTGACATTTTGTTGTATGTGTTGAAACTACAATTCGCTTTCAATTTGTCCAACTATATGGGCGTTGGTGCACTACACTGAATTTTCGGGTGCGGCGGTCCGATTTTTTTCCGGTCCGGAATGACATGAAAAACCCGATTTAGAGTAGTTCTCTTTGAAGCTACACGTCACTTTACCTAGGTACGATGCTAGCTTTATTAGTTTACGTGCGAAGATGTAGAAGACAGAAAAAATATTGGGTTTATCCCATGATGGATGAGAGAGACCCGTGACATATGCATCTAGTCTCTAATTGCAGCTGAGAAAAAGTATTCAAAAAGAAACCACGGTGATCGTTTTCGTAGTTACCACTGGAGTTTGACCAGTTGGCGATATTCGGCTCGCATAAACTTATATCAGAGGGAGCAGCTAATCGATCACAACGTTGTGCAGCTTTTTTGGCTGCATACAATTATAATATGTACCCGTCTCGTTCTATCATAGACGTTAATTTTGTGGTGGGTTTACCGGTGACGCTCACACAAATCCGTAATGCAACCGAAACCGATGTGACTTTATAAGAGATTAGATCTCACATACAGATCTAATCTTTTGCAACCGTCATCTTTAGATTACGGTTTCGAAAATTAAGCCTTATGTAAGTCTCAGTCGCCTCTACGAGAAGGAGAAGGGGAGTTAGCGGAAATTGAATAGTTTACGTAATTGCAACTCAAACTAGAACGTTTTCACCGTTAGATCAGTACGGTAGTCACTCGATTGACGCAGGAGCAAAGTCATCGTTTAAGTTAGTGGAACTCAAACTCGGCACCTGTTCTCGTTTTGGACTTGCTAAAATGAAAAGTGAAGCGCGCGCTCGCTGACGGTCCCCACGCCGGACGCGTGATGCCCCGGCCCGTTCGGTGGAGGCCCGCGCTCGTTCCGTGTCCGAAGCCGTTTTAAGTTTTTTCATAGAGTACACATCCATTTCCTCGGGTCTTATTTAGTTTTAGACGGTACTCACACCGAATGGTAACTATGAGACGAACCGTCTCATAGTTTCAATGCCCACTAAAGGGGAACCGGCTCGCCAGGGGAGCGGGCGCACCGAGAATCAGAAATATTTCAAATTCTACCGCGGAGAACGGGGAGCCACCGGGATGTCGAGCGAGATACGATAGAGCGCGGGCGATACATCACCAGGCAGGGCGTGTGGAACCGGTTGCGGCACTGGCGGCACAGCACGTTGGGCGCGTGCCCGCTGGCGGCGTGCAGCCGGCTGTAGCACACGCAGCACGCCGCGCCCGCCGCCGCCGCGCCCGCAGCGTTGCGCCACGCCTCCAGCGCCGCCATCAGCGTGCCGTTCTGCGGGCAGCGGGGAGGGTCAGGCCGACTCGGGGAGGCACGTCGGTACACGGTAGAGACGGAACTGGTACCTGGTAGGCGATGAAGATGGGGATCCAGGCGGTGTTGACGGAGGGCCGGAGCCGCGTGGCGGTGACGAGCGGCGGCACCAGCGGGTACTCGGGCGGGAACTCGAGGCGCAGCTCCGCGCGGCGCTCCTCCCCCTCCAGGACGGCCAGCACCTCGCCGGCCGCCAGGGGGCGCACGCGCAGGCCGGGCGCGGGCCGCACGGAGCGCAGCTGCGCCCGCACCAGCGGCCCGCGCACGTACGCGGCCACGAGGCGGCCCAGCGCCGCGCCCCCCGCGCCCGCCGCCCCCCACCACCCGCGCGCCTCGCCCCGCCCCGCGCCCGCCGCGCACGCCCACACGCCGCGGCACGCCGCCCGCTCCAGCCAGGCGGCCGAGCGCGCCTCTGCACATGAAAAACGCTATTTCGCTTCCGTCGACGCTCGGCCCGGGGGACGCCTCCCCTCGGTTCACCCGAACGTTTAGAATATTTCGAAAGGGAGGCCCGTTTCGATTCGTCGATTCGAGTCGATATAGGATGAACACGAAATAGAATAAAACGGAGCGATCGACCGTCGACGCCTCCGAATTGAAATTTTCCCGAGACCCGAGGGGGCCCCGCGCTCGAAACGGACGGCGAACGGCGGGCCGGCCCCGGTCGCGGCCGAACGGGTCGATCCGGGCGAAAAGGATCAGCGAGCGATCCTTTTCTCTCGGCGAGACCCGAGTCCGAGTCTCGATTTCGAAATTCGGAACGCGGCCAGAAGATTCGGAAGCCCGCCCGCAGTCGGTGATATAAACAGAGGGGAAGTACCGTGCGCGCGCAGGACCGGCGACTCCTCGAACCAGGCCTGGTAGTGCGGGGGCGGGGGCGGGGGCGGGGCTGCGGCGCCGCGCAGCCGCTCGGGCAGCAGCCGCAGCGCGACCGGCAGCAGCCGCTCCACGAGCCGCGCCTGCCTGCGCGCGCAACACACCGAACCGAGTTTATATTCTGCGAAGCGTCTCTACTTGGAAAAATAATATTAGTCGAAATTGTTTCGTGGAATCAGGGGAACGTCCGACGCACCGGAACGCTTGCACGTAGTGGTGGTGCAGCGCGGAGGCGGTGGGGGCGGCGGGGGCGGCGGGGGCGGGGGCGGTGGCGCGGTGCAGCGCGTCGGCCAGCAGCAGGCAGCCCAGCGCCGCGCGGTGCGCGTCCGACGCCCACTCGGGCGCGCCAGACTCCACGCCCGCGCTGACAAAAAAGAAAATATATTTCAAATAATTTTTAATGCACTGACAATATGAGTATGATTACGGACGGCGGCCACAGAATCACCTCCCCGCGACCTCACCCCCGCAACGAGTGGAGGGGGCACGTCACGGGCCAAATACCACCTAAGCAAGTCGGAACCGTGCGTATGCATGCATGCGAACGTTTTCGTACGCTGTACTACAAATAACAACTCTGCGATAAGAAGAAAGAATAAACACCTCATTCCTCCGAACTGTTGTTTTGATCGAGTGCAAGGGCTCGTTGATAGTAACTTAAAAAAGAATGTGACGTCATTCTAAACCCCTGCATGGCGGAATAATTATTATTTATACATTTCTGCTATATGGTTATTAAATGAAATAGCTCGCTAAGTATAATTAGAAAAAGAAATAAATCCAATATAAAGACAATTAAAATTTATATGCTTTTAAAATTTCACAACAATGACCCGTTGAATGAGATGATCAGACTGAGATACTAGGTTTCTAGGTAAGCGATAACTAAAAAACGAAAAATAAATAAAAAAAACTTAAAAAAAAATGTTTTTTTTTGCGGGGCCTTGAAATATAACAAAATCAAAATTATTTATTCAGTCTAAGCTGTTACAAGCACTTGTGAAAGTCGAGAGCTACACCACCGATCAATCTACGGCGGGAGACCTTGTACCGAGAAGAACCGGCAAGACACTCGGCAAGGGCTGCTTTTTTCTCCCTATTTATTTCATACAGAGCGGCAAGATTGAAAAATGACTTCAATAAAATATGAAGTCACTTTCCATTACAATATTAGAAAATATAAGAGTAAAACAGTATTTTCGTCAATCGAATTACATGTGTAGTCAAAGAAGCTCACCGATAAAGAATTTAATATACATGAAAAATGAGCCATATTTAACACCAAGCAGTTTTGTCGTTTAAATATTCATTAACAGTATAATATCCTTTACTGAGTAGACAATTCTTAATATGGGTTTACAACTAAGTAGGATCCACGACCCTACAATATTGTTATGAATGTTATTAAAAGTTTATTAGTAAGGTGTAAAGAATGACACGGGTGTTACGTTCAATAGTTTAATTGTCACTAACTCAAATGTCGGAGCTCGCTCCTACATACTGCCCAATTTAAGAAAAGACACATATAAAAATAATTATATTACTTAAGTAAACAGTAAGTAAGTTAAAGTTAAGGAGAAGTTTGCCGATTGACACGTCGTGTAGATTGCAGGTTGTCCATCGCCCGCGTTGCTGTTGCGGAAAATTCACTGGGTGTACTGCATCGAACACTCTGCAGTTCCACTTCAGGAACAACCACGTCATTTTTCTTCTTTAGGTAGTTTTTGATATAATGGTATACGACACCTAATATAATGATGCAAAATATCGCAACAAATCCATAACCCACATAGTGGTGAGTGTCGTGCGATGTATTACGGATTGTCAACATTTCTTGCAATGTCTTTACATTATTTATTTGGTTTTGAAGTTGATCATATTGTTGTTCATGTGTTTCTGGAGTATAACTGAAGTTGTAGCCTTTTAAAATGTTATTGACACTTGACTCCGGCATATATATTCCATCGTAGTTTAAAATCAACTCAGAATGATATATTTTTGGAGAATGTATGATGATATTATCTCCCTTTAACATGCATCCTGGCCTTAATTTTATAATACCCGTACCATGTAAGTTCTCTGTAACCACAGTAGCGTCGGGACAAAAAATGCGTACTGTGCATTCCTCGCAACAAGTAAACAACCATGCGGCGCGGCTGTGTAACCTGATCCATTCATTGTGGCAACGTGATAATATGGAGCCACAATTAGTTAAATTATTATTGTTGATTACTTGTGCCTCACATATTATCGATATTTCTTTTGCTGTTGTATGTATAGGTAGATTTAAGTTACATATCAGTTTGTTTTCTTTTAATGACATACATCCACTATGCATATCTTCTTCGGTGATTGGAATAATCATATCCTTTTTGAGAGTTAAGCCAGAGTACTTTGCAGTGGGAATGATGAATGTAGACATCCGATCCTTTATTATTGGAATAGGCACGACGTGATTGAGCTCAAAATGTTCACTATTAATGAGAGGTAATTTAATTTCAAATATCAAGTAATCGGTTAATCGCACGTGAACTCTTGAAAGTTTATACATTTCTCTTACACATTCTTGTTGATTACTCACACACGGCAACGTTACATCTGAAGAAATTTGAGCTGTGATGATATTTAATTGATTTTCGAACTCTGCTGGTTTCAATAAGTGTGTATCCATTCTGCCACTGCGCACATCTGTGACAAGATCAAGTAGTTGCTGTTGCAGCCGGCGTAGGCTATCAATTATAATATTAGCTGTTAAAATTGCTCCTATCATATTCATAGTTTTGTTATGTTCGTTTCCTATTAGATTATTTAAGTATGACATCTGTCGACTGATGCTGGTGAACTGCTTGATCATCATTTCTTCATTTCTTTTCAAAATATTATGGTCGCCTTCAATAATGGAAATCTGTTTTTTGTATAAGTTATTGAGATGATCTTCGTTTTCATGTATTGTTTGGATTTCTTTACCATATTGAAGAGCAAAGCGTTCATCGAGTACACCGAATAATTCGTTGGCTACGTAACCCACTCCGTTGATGAGGCCTCGCTTAGCGCGTCTGCCATGTTCTGTTTGTAACATTAAATTGTTGTGCTGGAGTTCTGTTATTTCATGCTGTAGTTGTGTCGTAATAATTTTGAACGACGGTTCATCCTTGCTAAGATCCAGTAGAAGGTTGACATGGTACTCGATATTTAAAAGACTATGCCAATATGTTGATAAATTATAATAGACAATCATCTTCCATTCGTCTTGTATCAATTGCATATCAGCAATTTTGTCAAAATATAATGGCTGATTCTGTTGCAGAGTTGTCACTTTCACAGGTTGCTGACCAATTATTTCCGGAGCTGTACTACATATGGTAAATAATAAAAAGTATAGATTTATCGAATTCATGTTTTTTTTTTTTTTCTTTCTTGTTATGTATGAAGATGTTAATACCAAATTATTAATATACTTTTTATTTTACCAGGTTATTGTTCCGTTTCCGATTGCGGTTGCGAAGTTACTGAGTCCGTGTCGATTGGTAAGCGGATCAACTTACTAATCGGTCGTTTTACGCAATCCTTACTTTTTGTTCGCAGGGTGACCACACGCACGCGTCCATCGCTTCCTGGGTGAGTATCTATTACCCTTCCCAGCAGCCAGCGAGCTGGAGGAACGTTATCATCTTTAATTATTACCAAATCTCCTTTTGTGAAGTCCTTTCGTCCGAAGTGCCATTTACTACGTTGCTGTAATGTTTGAAGATACTCAATGGACCATCTGCGCCAAAAGTCCTTATGCATTTTTTCTATAAGTTTCCACCGCGTTCCAAGGCTGATCTCTTCAGCTCCTAGAGTAAGAGGAGGGGCTAGCAGTTGGTCACCAATAAGAAAGTGACCGGGCGTCAAGCATTGTAGATCTTCTATGCTGTTCGTGAGAGCCACTAAGGGTCTCGAATTGAGACATGCTTCTATTTGGGTGAGTAGCGTTGTGAACTCTTCGTAAACCAATTTTTGTTCACCGAGAACCCTCTTCAGGTGATATTTCATTCGCTTTACTCCGGCCTCCCAAAGACCTCCAGCGGTGGGCCATGCTGGAGCGTTAAAATGCCACTCCACATTGCAAGCAGTGATGTGGTCCATAACATCAGATGACGTCAAGTAATGTTCGAGAGCCTTTTTATGTTCACGATTTAAACTGTTCGATGCTCCAACAAAGTTGGTACCGCAATCGCTATAGATGTGTTTAGGCATCCCACGGCGTGCACACAAGCGTTTAAATGCACCAAGAAATGTTATTGAGGTAAGGTCAGAAACTAGCTCAAGATGGACAGCCTTGGTTGAGAAACAGACGAAGATAACAATGTATCCTTTAGTTGTAGCTATTCCTCGGCCTTTATTCGATTTTACTTCCACTGGTCCAGCGAGATCTACACCCGTATGAGTAAACGGACGCGACGGAGTGACACGTGATTTTGGCAAATCTGCCATTATCTGGTTTTGTTTACATGTATTAAAGCGCATGCATTTTATACATTTACGTAGCTCCCGCTTTACAGCATTCATGCCACCAGTTATCCAATATTTAGTTCTCAGGAAATTTAAGGTCAATCTTGCACCTCCGTGTAATGTTATTCTGTGAGCCCACTGTATAATTAAAGTGCTCAGTCTGTCACTATTTGCCATAATAACGGGGTGTTTATTTTCAATGCTCAAAGTTGACTGTCCGAGTCTTCCACCTACTCTCAATATTCCATCTTCATCAAGCCACGGATTCAGACTCAAAAGTTGACTTTTGCATAAAAGTTTCTTTTTATTCAAAAGATTGTCTATATCTTGTTTGAAATATTTATATTGCACGGCCTTGACAATGAAATTATGAGCGTTTAATATCTCAATTGTTTTCAAGTTCATTGCCTTACTTTTATCAGTGCTTCGTAAGTTGTAAATGAAACGCGATATCCATGCTAGTACGCGCGTTACTCGTTCCATAGAGCTATAACGCTCGAGAAGTGTTTCTATTAATGTTTCCGTGTTTTGATGTTGAGTTACATACACCTTTGTTTTCTTATCCTCTTCCGGAATTGGAATTTCCGCACGCTTTGATGTTTGCAAAAAGATGTCATTTTTTAACCACAATGGGCCTTCCCACCATAGGGAGTATGTCAGTAGCTGAGAGGGCAGCAATCCTCTACTTGCACAATCTGCTGCATTCTCTTCAGATCTTACGTGTTTCCAACAAGATGACGGCATTGTTTGTAAAATGTTTGCCACACGATTCGCCACAAATGTTTTCCAACGTCCTACTTAACCTTGCAACCAACCCAATACGACCATTGAGTCAGTCCAGCCGTAAATGTTTACGTTGCCTGTCTGAATGTTCATTGTGTCTATGGCTTTTTTCATCAACTGAGATAGTAATAGTGCACCGCATAGTTCCAGTCGTGGTAACGACATAGTCTTATTAAGCGGCGCTAATTTTGTTTTAGCGGCTATGAGAGTTGTAACAGGCTTTCCGTTTGCGTCCATGGACTTGCAATAGATGACGCACGCATAAGCTTTCTCAGACGCGTCGCAGAATCCGTGAAATTCGATAGGTTTTTCTTTGTTACCGATCCAGCGTGCTAATTTTATTTTGTTTATATTAGGTAAGTCTTGCTTTAATGTATTCCATTCTTGTTGTAGATCAAATGGTAGTGTATCATCCCAACCTAGATTTATGTTCCATATCTTTTGAAACAATAATTTACATTTTATAGTAATCGGAGACAGCCAGCCAAGCGGGTCGTATATCTTTGATATAGTTGATAGTAATAATCGCTTTGTTGTGGTAGGTATAGTTAAGTCTTTATCATTCATAAGTGTAACGCTCAGGAATGAAAACTGATCAGTGCACGGGTTCCATGATAGACCGAGCGTTTTATTCGTTTCAGCGTGCTTGCTCGGGTCGCTGCTGGTCCATTTTTTCAGTGTAAAGCCACCGCCGCGTAATAATTCTATTATTTGTTTTTGGGCCTGCTTTGCTTCCTGTAAGCTATTATTACCTCCTAATAAATCATCGACATAAAGCTGTTTCTGTAAAATCTTCGCTGCCAAAGGATATTTATGACCGTCATCTTGAAGTAGTTGTTTTATCGTTCTCATAGCGAGATAGGGAGCGGCCTTGGTGCCATATGTTACCGTGCACAACTGATAGTCATTGATAGTATTATAGATTGAATCTCGCCATACTATTTTTTGAAGGTGTTGATCTTCTTCTTTGACCAATATCTGACGATAAAATTTTTCTATGTCTGCTGTGTATGCATATTGAAATGTTCTCCAAAATAATATAACTCCTTGCAGATCTTGTTGTAGTTTCGGGCCGCATTCCATCAGATCATTTAATGTATATCCCGTTTTGATTTTACAGGATGCGTTAAATACGGCTCTTAATTTAGTAGTAAGTGAATCGAGTTTGATGACTCCGTGATGGGGCAAAAAGCATTCTGGTTCGAGTTGAGTGGTGCATAGTTTCATATGACCCAGTTCAATATATTCGCTAATAAATTTTCTGTAGTTTTCCGCCAAAATTGGATTCTTTAGGAAATTTTTCTCGAGTTGCTTAAACTGGGCCACAGCTAGATATTTAGATGGTGCTAAATGTTCTTCAAAATTGGGTTTCATAGGCAATTTTACAATGTAGCGGCCGTTTTGCTGTCTTGTAGTTGTTGATTGGTACAGCGTTTCACAGTATTCCTGGGCGGGTGTCAAGTTACTGTTCTGTTGTGTTATTTCTTCTAACTCCCAGTACTGTGATATTTCTTCTAAGTTATTCAAAACGGCGTGACAGTTAAATGTTTTAACATTGCCGACTAAAATCCAGCCTAACTTGGTTTGTTGGGCAATAGGGGCGTTAGTTGGCCCTCGTAGTATACCATTCATTAAAATCTCTGCATAAACTTTCGCGTCAAGCAGAATGTCCACCGGTCGCGAAACATTGTATTCTAGATCAGCCAGGTTGATGTTATGTAGATGCGGCCACTGTTATTTCTCAAAGGTAAAATTGGGTAAATTTCCCACAACTTTTGACATCACTAATGCATCTGTGATAAAAGTGTAGTTATTGTAGCGAGATTCACATATCAATTTTACGGCCCCTCTACTGTGAGTGGCGGTCGTACCGACTCCAAATATTGAAGCGTTTTGGTTACATCTGTCTAAGCCCAAACGCTGCGCGGCATTTTCTGTTATTAAATTGATTTGCGAACCTTGATCTAAAAGACATCTTAATGTGACGAATGTTCCATCTTTAGCTCGTATATTGAGTTCTACAGTCGATAGTAAGACTTCATCATAATTTCCAGCTACGTGGTTTGATTTTCGGGAAGGTGAGGTCGAAGTTGAAGGTTGAGTTTCGTTGTTTGATGACACATGAGCGCTGTACATTTCATGTAAGATAGTGTGGTGATGATTATTACATATCTTACATCTTTTTACAGAAGTACATTTATTTTTATGATAAAATAAACAGTTTTCACAAACAGGTAAATTCTTTATAGTATTGACCTTCGCTTCGGGTGTCATGTTTAAAAACCTTTTGCAAGTAAGTAAAATGTGATCGTTCGTTTTACAAATTGGACACACACGTTCACATTGGTTTTTATAAGTTTTTGCGAATCTAGGTTTTGTTTCAATGAAACTGTCTTTGTTTTTAGGTTCATTTTCCCTTGTAGGTGCGTTGTGTTTAGGTTGTTTAATTTTCTTATGCAATGGTTCTAAGGCGGTGAATTTTTCTTCAAGGATGCCAATCAATTCTTCAAACGATGGAAGATCACGTTTATTTTTTCTGGCATCCATATATGTAGCGTATGTCTCTGAATCCATTTTTTCTGTCATAATGTGCACTAGAATCGGATCCCAGGTGGAAGTATCCACACCGAGGTTATGAATAGCATGAACAGTTTCTATACTCACATCATGCAATCGTTTGATTTCATAAGCTGTATGTTTTTGCATCACAGGTTGATTCAAGAAAATCTGTATTTGTTTTGTAAATAATAATTGAACATTGTTATACCTGCGATTTAGAAGTTCCCAACAAATATCGTAATTTTCGGCCGAGATGTTTAAGTGTTGAACGAGGCGTTCTGCTTCACCTTTGAGCTTACCTTTGAGATGTTGCATCTTCTGACATTTGTTCAAGTTAGGATTGTTATGGATAACTTCACAGTATAAGTCCGAGAAAGTAGGCCAGTTAATATAGTTTCCGGTAAACACTGGTAATTCAAGATGTGGTGTAGCTTCAGTCTGATGTTTGACTGAATTTAATTTACGATACAATTTCGTTTTAGTTGTCTCGTAAATATTTTCCACATGAGAAAACATTTCTTCGTAACTTTCATCGGATCCTTCTAATAAGTTGTCAATAGTCCAATGAAGGTCGTCAATCGTTTTCCAGCGAAATTGTAACATTTGAAGTTTATCTTCAATTTCCCATTTTTCCGTTAATGTGTCAATGTCAATGTTTTTCACAGCCCTATTGAAAGCGCGAAAGTTAGTTTTTTGTTGACTTAGCAATTCGGCGCTTTTGGAACTACTTTCTTTGTTTTTGGTACTGACCTTGGGGTCAGCATTAGAACCTTCATCACCACCACTGCTCTCGTCGACTGTAACTTGATAAGGCTTGGTATTTGAAATAAGATGCAAACCTTCAGTAAAGATTTGTTTGATCTTTTTAAAAACTCCTTTCGTAAAATAATCGTTTTTTCGGTCTTCCTCTAGTTCTAATAGAGCGTTATTGGAGGTAAACGCGCTCCACAAGTTGTTTAACGTATCAAGTCTGGTTTTCAGGTACTCAGATGTTTTTCTGGCAGCCGAATCCTTTTTAAAGTTTGTTATTATCCGTTCGATGTTAGTAGCGATTTCCGTTTGTCTTTTCAATAATGAATCCATATTGAATTTGATGTTGTTTTATTAATGTTAAAGATATTACGATAGCTAAGTAGCTCGCTTGTTCAGTGTATAGTTTCTGTGAACTGTACTTTTACTGCCTTTGAAGAGCGCCGTCTCAATCTAACAGGTGAGACCCGCTGGTGGGAGGCCCGTTAGACCGATCGCATAAAACACAGCAAAGCAATAATAAACAAAAGCACAAAACACTATCACACTAAGTATGTCGAAGGACCATATGTAGGATCCACGACCCTACAATATTGTTATGAATGTTATTAAAAGTTTATTAGTAAGGTGTAAAGAATGACACGGGTGTTACGTTCAATAGTTTAATTGTCACTAACTCAAATGTCGGAGCTCGCTCCTACAGTAATGGTAAATTTAAAATTTCCATAGGAATTTTGTTATAGTAGTGTACACCTCGACCCATAAATGATGATAGTACCTTCTTTAGCCTGCATGACGGCAAAACAAGTTTATCTTTGTTTCTAGTATTCAAATTGTGTACATGACTATGTTTAATATAATTGTTAATATTGTTTCTAACATAAAGTATACAATTGTATATGAATTGGGAGGCCACTGTTAATATCCTAATTGCTTTGAATTTATCTCTAAGTGATGTTCTTGAACCCAATTGATAAATAGCCCTTACTGCTCTTTTTTGTAAAATAAATATAGACTCTATATCTGCAGCCATACCCCACATCAGAATGCCATATGACATAACGCTATGGAAATAACTAAAGTATACTGTCCTAGCGGCATCTACATCTGTAAGTTGCCTAATTTTTTTATTGCAAAGGCAGCTGAACTTAGTTTTCCTACCAATAATGAAATGTGAGGATGTCATTTCAATTAAGAATCCAGCGTTACACCCAAGAAGATTGTCGAATCAACTAACTCGAGCTTTTCATCATTAAGTTTAATTTCTGTTAGTTCAGCTTTTACATTAGGTAACATAAACTTTATACATTTCGTTTTTTTTAGCATTTAACCGCATTTAACGAAAAGGACATCGGTTTTCGGCCGCATAGGTCGTCCGGAAGTCGAACAGATGAAATGAGAACTCACACGTAGGGCTCGAGCAGGTGGTCGGTGAGCTGCAGCGCGCGGTCCAGGTGCGGCTGGAACCAGTCGGGGGCCAGCGGGGGCCGGGCGCTCTCCCCGCCCCCGCCCCCGCCTTCGCCCTCGCCCTCCCCCTCCACGCTCCACGACGACATCTGCTCCGCTGCAACACGCCACACCGCGCCGAGAATTAACTCGCGAAGATACCCACAGATCTCTTTTGAACACATGCGATCGCGCTCATGTACAAATTAAGATCGGGCTGGAGTCGTCATAATGCGTACCGTCGTGTTCGGCGAGCGGGCCGGCGAGGGCGAGCAGCAAGGTGTGAGCGAGACAGTGGTACGCGGGATGGTGCGGGCGGGACAGAGCGCGCGCGCCCGCCTCCACCAGCGCCGGCAGCCGCGGCGCCCCCTCCCGCAGCGGCGCCCCCTCCCGCAGCGCCCCCCAGCCCGCGCAGCGCACGGCGTCCGCCGCGGCGGCGAGCACGCGGCACATGTCGGCCGTCACCGTCGCCGACGCCGCATCTGCCGCGAAAAAGGATATTCAATAGGGCCGCGGTCTCGCGATGGCGGGCGTTATTTCGACGACAGGCCCGCCGCGAACTAGTCACCGAATCGAGAGAGCGCCGACGGGGACTAATAGTAGGGGAGCCCACGATGCTAAATCGGGATTTACTCGAGCGTCATAGAGATCTATTGGGTCGCGAAGCTTAGATGATAACAAAAATAAATAAATCATATAATATATACCTTTTCATCGGTGGGGAAAGCGGCTATAGATTTTTAAAAATGTAAAAAAAAAACTGATGTATGGACATACTCGAGCGCGTCAGATATTAATATCATCCATATTCGTGATCCTTGAATGATTTCCTTCAAAATAAAAAAAAAATTGCCACGCTCGAGAATGTTAATGACGTTTTTTTTACAACTTTGTAGCCTTCCCCTTTCTTTACGTCACTCTCAAATTGTCAGATTAGAGGTATGTACACATTTTAACATGTAATTAGCTCACCATACCTTAAATCTGACGCGCTCGAGATTTTCCGATGATCAATTTTTTTTTACTAATCTGATCCTTCGTCCTCGCCGGGCGGCCATTTTTATAGGGCTCACACTCGGTCCGGGTACTTAACTGGGTACAAGGTATCCCCCTGTATATTAATCTGCCGCGCTTTAGTGAATCCCGAAATCTCCGCTCGGGCTCCCCTACTATAAATAGACGTAGATGAGTTTAATAGAATTAATGAATGATCAATATTCATTAATTGATTGATCTCGACGATCTCGTCGACCTTATCGATAGGCTCGGAAACGGAGCGAAGGTGGGACGAATCTCCCGCACGTTTATTAGAATCGAGAAACAAAAAAGATCGCTCCGCTGCGGTTCTTTAGGAGATTGCACGCTCACCCAGCAGGCGGGCGACGAGCGCGGCCAGGGGCGGCAGCACGGCGGGCGCCAGCACGTCCCGCCACTCGGCCGGCAGCGCCGCCACGTGCTCGGCCGGCTCGCGCCGCATGCACTCCGCCGGCACGCGCGATATGAACTCGCGCATGCTCACGAACAGCCCGAGCGCGGCGCGGGATACCATCGCCATCTAGCACGGGATATGCGTTGATAGATTTTGCACGGGCACGCTCGAAAATTAACAAAATAAAAAAAGTTCAAAAACTAGAACCCGTCTTCGACACCCGACCGCGGCGTCCGTCGGCGGTCGGCCCCGCGACGCTCCCGCTGTAAAATAAATTCAAACTTCTCAGAGCGCGATTCGGCCGCACGCGGGTTTCAGTTTTTGAATCGATTCCGTTCAGTTCGGGGTCGAAATCTGTCTCGCATCCCGAGGCGGAGGTCACCTTGGTGGAGGGCCCTCGCCGAGGCGCGCGCGCCAGGCCGGCCAGCAGCGCGGCCAGCGCGGCGGCGGCGCGGTCCCACAGCGCGCGCGGCGCCCCCCACCCGCGCCCCCGCAGCGCCGCCGCCGCGCACGAGGTTAGCGCGCACGCGGACACCAGCTCCGCCCACGGCAGCGCCCATATGTCCCTGCGCTCGCAAACGTATCCGGGATAAAATACGCGAGCGAATGTATTCCGGTCTCCTCCGCACCGATAAAAGTCGAGCTTCATCGGGCGCTCTCGACGGGCGCCGAAAACTGCGGCAGAAAAAATGAGCAGAACGGTCCTCGAACGGCTGCCGAGATTCATTTCCCGGTAACCGGAATGTATAACACGAAGCTTAGGCGGGAGTGAGAAAAGAAGCTCACCCGTCCTCCAGCGGCGCGGGGTCGAGCCAGTCGGCCAGCTCCTGCAGCGGGTCGCGGGCCCCCGCGCGGGCGGCGGCGGCGGCGCGGGGGGGGCGCGCTGCGGCCGCGCTGCGCAGCGCCGCCAGGAACAGCGCCTCCTCGCGCGCCCGCTCGTCGCCGCTCCACTGGGTGTTCGCCTGCCCACCGAATTACTATTCGTAACGACACGCAACGTTTATGGGCGATCTTCCCGATTTCCAAACGTGGCCTTCGCCGCCCGCGTCTAAGTCTGAATTTCCTTCGCCCCGCCCCCGCTCGGTCGGTGGGAGATCGCCCGTCGGGATCGTAGCCCGCTTCCCCGCGACGTCTCCGCCCCGTTATCTTATCATATTTTACCTAAACATGGTTTTACACGAAACCGCTCCCCGCCGTCTAGCCCCCGACCCCTTTTAAACTACTCAACGGATTAATTGTTGTTTATGTCAATATAAAATTGTTTCAAAAGGTCAATTTATGTCCGATACGATACGAAATATGAAAGCCGTGTTTCGTAACGTCGATACGAGAGAACCAGCGGCAGGTGTCGACTCCGGTAAAAATTCGAAACAATATTTTGCGGTTCCTGAGTCACTACGCTATATACCTTTAAAACATCTACGAAGCTCGTGCTGACTAGTTTCAAAACACGAGGGAGCGGTAATAGATATCTGAGACCGTTTGGTGTTTAAAATTAGTGCAAAAATTTTTATACCTATGTAAAAAATATCTGCAGAAACTTGTTAGATTAGATTTTAGAAACTATAACTTCAGAGGTTAGAGTCTTAACAATAATCAATATAATAATAATTCTTCAGACCACTCGTAGCGAAAGCACAAATTCAATATAAGGTGTACCTGCAAGCAGTGATAGTATCCTTTTCCGTTGACCATTCGCTGTATGCTCTCTTCGTCCAACGTGTTACCCACGTTTCCATGAAGTTCGCCATCTCGCTCGTTTCCCGATTTACAATCCTGGTCGGCATCCCGCCCGTCCGTCGGTTTCTCATCTTCATCCGCATCCACATTATCCTTGCTCTCCGCGCCGTCGTCGACCGTTGGAACTACGCGATCATGGAAATTGTCATTCGTAGTTTTTCCGCCTTCAACTTTGACTTCATAGAACCTTCTAGCGCAAGCCCAGTAGTACCCTTCGGTGGCCGCCAGTTCCAGAAGACGAGATAGGATTTGGTTTTTAACTTCTTTCGCGGTAGCGGCTCCTATATCGTCGATCGCGGCCTCAATTTTAACTTTCGCTTCTCTGATTATATCATGGTGCAGCCACTGAAAATGTACTAGGTGATTCAAATTTAAATTCTATAAAATTTCTTAAACGAAAATAACATCGGGACTCGCCGAACGTTTACTCAAGGGATACTCACAAAGCCATAAGCCTCATCCAACGAGTAGAGCACCATGAATTCTCGCAGCAGCTTGCAGAATTCCATCTGCAAATACTCGTTGCCGAGCAACGTATCGCACCAAGCTCCGTCTTCCTTCCTCTCCTCATCTTCATCGGTGGTCGCATGGAGTGTGATGGTTTTGAAGTAAATAGCTCGGAAAAGCATCTTATTAATACAAGGCACGAGGGTCCGCTTCGTGAGTTCGACGGGTTCGTCGCTGTCCGCGTCCCGTACTACGGCGCGGATGACGTCGTTGTCGTCGTCGAAGGGGCAGTTGAAGCGGCCCACCACGCAGTCGTGCCGCAGCGCCGCCATCTCCACCGCTACATCCAGCTCGAAGTTTAGCAGCTGCTTCGTCAGCTCCACCACTTCTATCACGTCATCCGGCGAGGAGCATCCGCTGAGTAGGTACGGGCAGAGGGACGATATGTGCTCGATTTGAAGAACATCGACGTCGTCAACCCTGGGTCATCGAGATAATATTAGCGAATGGAACTGTCAAAGACTGTTATCAGCAGTGATCGGAATTAGGTAGAGTTATTCATGTACTTACACCGATTTCATACAGCGAAAGAATAAAGTGGATATGCCTCAAATCCCGAGATTAATTTTAAAGAGCAGAAAAATCCCGTGATTTTTTAAATAAAAAGTTATTTACTTTTAACAATTTAAACTACTGCACGCACGACGTTGCCAAACTTACATCAATGACATGGGATGTCCAAAGTTGCAAAATTTGTATTGTAAATTAATGTAAACTAATAAAAAATTTATAATTATCTTTGTTTTATTTGTCTATCTCTGACATTGTTATCATTATTTAGTTGTAAGATTGTTGGCCACACGAGATTATCCATTAGAAATCCCGGGAAGGTCCACATTAATATCAACATTTCGATGCAAGTACATAAATAACTCTACCTAATTCCGACCTCTGGTTATCAGTGACCGGTTAGTAGGGTGGCGTGCGTGAGTCGCGCGGTGAGTGTACTCACATGGCGGTGAGGTGATCTGTGAGTAGGGAGGCGTGCGTGAGTCGCGCGGGGAGCGGTAACGCGATGAGTCCGTCGTGAGCGGCGGATCGAGCCTCGCGCCATCCGTCTACGCTTAGACGCGGATCTCCACGCTGAAAAAGGTTTTTCTTATAATATAATGTTTATTGCTAATTACATGACCGTGGCGTGCATGACCGTTTGTCCACTCATTGACCGGATTCATCTTCGTTTTCTGTAAAATTGCATCGGAAAATTTTAAATTCGAACAGTAGTTGTAAAATGATACAGATAACAAATCGGACTTATCGCTGATGTGCAGTGGGTGAAATTTTTTAAATTAAAAATAAGCCCAGTAATCGAATATAGAATAAAGTTTGTCTGATCACCCATTGCTTTCAATTTGTTCGCGATTGAAAATGTCAAAGAAAAGCTGTCACGTTTTAACTAATTTTCATAATTCAAAACATTTGACTTTATATGGAAAAAATATTATAATCAAAATTAAAGTATATGAAAAAACAAAGAAATTATTTGGTTTTGTTTAATGTTGCGGCTCATACTTAGCGACTTAGGATTCGTTGAATACATTTTTATCGTAATTTTTTTTTAATAGTTTTAACATCCAATAGGTAAAAGATTACTGAAAAAATTGTACCTACCATTTTTATAGTATTTTATTAGACCTGCAAAATGAGCTACAATAAAAGTTCTCAGTATAAAAATTAATGGAGTTAAGACAAAAATAAGCCGAGTCGTTAGAATTAAAAAATATATATATACAGAATAAAAATGAATCGTAGCGCATCTACACGCGCGCGGACCGCATACTGACCGGCACCTGCAGCACGAGCCGCAGCAGCGCCCGCAGCAGCCGCGCGGGGCAGCGCGGCGCCAGCGCGGCCGCCACGTGCGCCGCCACGCGCGCGCCCCGCTCCGGCCCCGCCCCCGCCTCCGCCCCCGGCCCCGCCTGCAGGCACTCGCCCAGTCCGTCGCTCACCGCGTCCGCTATCTCGGACGCCGTCTCTTCGCTTATTAGCATCTCTACGATTTCATAGAACTAGGCGTTACTTCGCGGAAGGCTCTGCTGTGACTACTCCTTAGGACGCTCCGCGGAGGCGAGAGTGATCTCTGAGATTGCCGATTAAGTGACGAGCTCACCGCCGCTGGCGTCCGTGGACAGGCTGAGCAGCAGCAGGTCGCGCGCGGCGGGCCCTTGCGGGCGCGGGGGGGCGCGCGCGAGGCGCAGCAGCGCGGCCCGCACGGCGCGCGACCGCAGCCAGAGGCGCGCGGCCCGCACGCGCCACTGGCGGTGGCACAGCGCCGCGCCCACGCCCCACTCCACCGCGCACCGCCCCAACTGGGAACGCGCGGTTTCCGTTTTAGTAGGACGTCTGGAGTCGTCGACGTCGCCTCTCTCGTTTTCGAACGGACCGAGAGCGGTCTCTTCCCCTTTTCGTCGGAAAAAAGAACGTCCCCTGCTGGACGCGTTCTAGAGACGTTTCACGTTCCGTCGAATTACAAAAAAAATATATAACAAATGATATAAAAAGAATTTATTTTATGCTCGTTGTCACGTGACCGCAAACAGCGCGTGACGTCCCGTCCTTCCTACTCATATCAGAACTTAGAGAATTCGACCTTATAGCGCCGCCATGACGGAGACGACGTTTAAATCACAGTTTTGCATGTAAATCAACACGGCGAGAGAACTAACCACGTTTTAATACACCGCTGAAAAATATCGAAATCATGTGCAGAACGTGCAGAGCGATCTTTGAGAAAGTCCATAACTGAAGCTCGACAAAAATATACAAAAATGCACAAGTCTCGCAACGTCATTTCTTCTGCCATAAAAAGTAATGAAATCAACGTAAACCAAGTAAGTGAAATTTAAAATAGTAGATTTTGGAATATTTGGCAAACACATAGGTATATAGATTAAAAGAATTTTACATAAAACAAAATCTATGTAAGTTTAATGATCTGTGCTTGTTTTAAAAATAGGTACCTATATTATGATACTGCTTGCGTTTGTTGAGTAACCCCAAATCTATGACAAGGTTGGATAGCTGCTGCCACAGAAAGACGGATACCGATATAACCTATTTGGTTTACATTGTTTTCATATCTCGCTGTACATGATATGTTTTTGATGGAATATGTAACTTGCAGACGCTGTTTAAGAGATAGAGTAGAAAATTAATTGCATAATATTGATTTGAAACGTAATTTCTATCGACTCACCTTATCGAAAGACTTCATGACGGCGTCCTGCTCTTCCTCGGTTAAATGTATGATTAACATGAAGGTGATATCGACGATAGTCTTGGAGCGCATCGTATCCCTTAACATCCATTTCATCAACACTTTCTCGTAAAAATCATACACGCCAGTCGCCGAAAAATGTCTCGCCAGAGCATCGTACAGGCTTTTACTATCGAACTCGTTTATTATAGTGATCAAAGGCATCAACACGGGATCAGAGATGTCATTTTTGTCGGCGTACTCGAAGTAGTTGCAACAGATCTTTTGTACTACTTCGTTTAAGTTATGGTTGTACCTTTCCGACGTCGCGGCGTCAACCTCTGGCGTCGGAACCTTAACTTGGGCTTCGTTCGGCGCGTCACCGTCAAACCTTACACTCTGGCTCTTTTTGCTCTCGCTCGAGAAGGCCGTTTTCAAAGTCTGAAGGAGAAGGATATGGCCGTCTACCACGAGGGCGACGTCAGCGCCCTCCAGTTTTTCGATTTGCGTCAGAACCGTCGCACACACGTTCTGCCAGAAGTTTCTGATCAGCTGGTCGTATTTGTCACCGTTCGCTTCCTTGGATTGTTTTAGCCAGAATTTCACTAAAGCTACCATATCGGTAGCGGAGTGCTTGATCAAGTTAGTCCTCAGTAGTCCATCTCGGTCCGTGGAGAGAGCCACTTCGAGCCAGTTCCTGTGGACGGCCGTGGTTACTTCTACAACGAAATCGTTCTGCTGGATTGAGAGATACCTCAAACATTCGGCTAGACTCGAGATCCAGTACTGGCGTTCGGTCTTTGAACTCGACGTATTCTTCTTCGCTAAGCTGTAAATGATCGGACGGTTAATAGATAGCATATATCGCCGTGTACATTTTACGAGGTCGGTGTCGGTGCTCTTACCCTTTGAAGAACGAATCGAAGAACGTTTCGTAGAAGTTCTTTGTGAGCATCTCTCGCGGGAGATGCGCTAACAACGGCAGCAGCATATCGCTCAGGCGCTTGGCGTCACCCCATCCACCTAAATTTGAATCAATTCCAAGGTTCATAAAACTTTTACAGCAATATTTTACCCGAAAACTTGCCAAACTTCTATTCTAGACATACCTTTTTCTAACATATCCAGGATTCTGCCGGTGAGGACATCGTTTCTCTCTAGGTATCTATGCCAGTCCTGGGGAACGAAGACGTCGATGAGAAACGTACAAGTCAAATGCGTAGAGAGATGCGAGTGCATATATGCATATACCGACAGGCACGCTGTGCATGAAGAGCAGCAGGCAGTCCCAGCGCTGCTGCGCGAGCACGAGCTTGAGCAGGCGCGCGCCGAACTTGTCCGCGAACATGCTCGCGAACCGCTCCACCACGCGCCCCATGGCTGCGAACCAGGCCGCCCTGGCGATGGCCCAGATCAATCAATCAAAACAAAAACTAGAGCCGGCTAGCGTTTGCGCTAGTGTGATACAACCTACAGATCCCGGGTATGTTCCGATATACACTGCGACCACTGAACAGTATGACGTCAATTTAATATACTGGAAGCCCGTTCCTTTATAGCTAGTCATACTGGTGACTTTTTAAAATGGAACGCAGTCCAGTATACTGTTAATCCTATTTTTTGGCGCCATTTTCAAATTTGTTAATGCAAGGTGAATATAAATATAAAGATTCCCTCTTTTCAAAAGAAAATTGGAAAATTGTATTGAAAAAATATTTATCAATTAAATCCATCTTATAAATAAACGTAAGTATATTTTTTTTTCGTTTATTTAGAAACTTATCCTTTTCTGATTCTGTTTCGACTGATCACGTGATCAAAAGCACTGCGAGCACCTTACCTCGAAATCTCCAGGGGCTCTATTTTTGAATCATTCGTCTCGCGTCGAGCGCTCGTTTTCTTCTATCACTCGCATACAACGTTCGCTAAGCGACGAGTGGTTCATACCACTCGTTGCAGTCGAGCGATTTAGAAATGGCGAATTTGTTAAGTCGAACGAAAATCAGTAGAAAACGAGCGCTCGACGCGAGACGAATGATTCAAAAATAGAGCCCCAGTGCTACAGTACAAATATGGCGGCAATTTATGACGTCATGAATTTCCCTAGGGTACTGTAGCAGTGTACTGGCAGTCCATAACGGAACGGATTTTTCAGCAGTAAGACCACTGCGCAGTGCTCGCAGTGTATATCGGAACATACCCCCCATCCGCAGATCGCCTATACTCTTTGACATATGATAGAGTGCACACGATCCGGATAAAATGATAAACTCATCGATGTGAACGCGTCTCTTCGATTCCCGACCCGTTTAAACGAATAGTCAAATCGTGAATTTATATAATTTGCAAATGAATAAAATACGGTGAAACGAAGATTAGACGATAAGCATACCTGAGCTGGGGCGAGGAGTGCGAGGCGTAGTGCCAGTAGGTGGCGGAGTGCAGCAGCGGCGCGAGCTCGTCCCACAGCCAGCGGTGGTGGGCGGCGGGCAGGTGGCGCGCCAGGTGCTGCAGCCCCTGCAGGCTGCTGCTGGCCAGCCGCTGCAGCTGCAGCGAGCGCTCCTCCGCACCTTCTGCTCTGTACCAATACGCGTTACAGAATAAGATAGACCTCATTATGTCGTCGCTCCTTTAAGATTCTTGTTGCTTCTTAACGAGATATTCTTCATTAAAATCTCATTGAAAGCCTTTCATGTCATTTTTTTTCTAGCGATATCGGATCGCTTTTAATACTTACGGTTTGATGAGGGTTTTTTGGCCATTTCCGATGAGACCGTCGAGTAGATTAGCCATGACCTCGGCCTTGCAGAACGATATAACTTCTGGCAGTTTGTTCTCCGGGAAAGTAGCCTGCGGTTAACATGAATATACAGGGATGATCGGTATAATGATACTAGAGTACGATCATGACATGAGTATTACACCGATCGCATATTATAATTTATATGTTTCAGCTCAAGAAATTTACTTCTCGGTTCTATACTCCATTCATTATAGCATTAGACAGAAGTTAAATAAGGTTCTTTTTATGGTATACTTTGTGACAAAATATCAATAATCATGTTACTCTTAAAAGTGACGGCTAATTTGGTACATATCTACTTAAATACCAGCTGCTATACTTAAATGTTGTCATTTAAGCTATCTATTAAACAAATTTATGAGTATATGACTAACTTAAATGATTTAATAACTATTACAATAAAAAGTGTTCATCGTAAAGAACCTAAAGAAGCAGGGTTGGATAGTTTCGGCACGACTCTAATGTCACTATAACTCTACCAAATTTAAAACGTTGCTTAACCCTTTCTAACGTTTCGGCAGTACAGCTTTTTAATTTTGTCAGACTATTATTTATTCATAATTGTTAAAATCGTAATCTGGGATTGTCATCCATTGTGTATCCTACTGCCTTTCTTGTTGTTTTGCCGTTTTCCGTGATTAAGTTCTTATTGTTTTATTTTTGTTGTTGAGTTTTCTTAAATATGGACGATGCCAGTACAGGCCTAATTGGTCTTCCCTCAACCTTTGACTTACTAATTACACTTACAATTAGAATTTATCAAAACAACAGACGGATAGTTTCAGTTTTAGTTCCATGTTGGCTTGGGAGTAAAAGATGAATTTATAAAATGCTGGCCTCATCTCAACCCCGAGGTATCGTAAAAAATGGAAAATTGCCCAGCTCTTTCAGACTACCTAATATTCAAAGTTTCAACTAAACTAATAATATTTTTTAAATTTATCTTGAAAATAAAATGTTTTGCACTGCTGCTTCTATGACTCTCTTTTTTCTAATGTTATAATGAATGGAGTATAGTAAATTTTCAGGATTTGTTAATAAGAATAAAATTCTCTCGTCCCCTGTCCATATATCTTTCACCAGGCTTTATCTCATAAATTATGATACGTAGATAGTTGTTGTAGATAATGTATTTCTATTACACCGACTCGCGCACGAAGGATTCGATACCATTATCCATAAAAAAGTAAAAAAAAAACATGTTTCTTATTTCGATGGTGCTGTTCAAAATTTTCGACAATCAGTCGACTATTAAGCCAACTTAACTGTGATAGATTTCCTTTTAACTTTCGTTTTATATAGGTACTATAGTCGTAAGGTTTAGTTAGTAGAGGGGGGAAGGAAAATTTGACTCTGACGAAAATTAGCTCTTTGAATCTTAATAAGTCACAGATGGCTTACTAAATCGAAAAGCGGCCTTCCTACACCTTCAGTATTTTTGAAAGACCCCATACTACAGGGAAGTCGCAAAAAAATATCATCCACACTTTACATGTAGGATATTCTAAAAAATTTGAGCTAAACCGTGGAAGGACGGATTTTGGCGCAGGGCTCTAAAACAAGAAACATGATTTTCGAACACCGGGCGGGGAGTACCTTGAGCGCGAGCTGCGCGTGCGCGGCGGCGGGCGCGTGGTCGTCGTGCTGCGCCTGCAGCCACGCGGGCAGCAGAGCCCGCAGCGCCGGCGCCAGGCGCCGCCCGCATGCGCGCGCGAACGACCACTGGCACATCTGTAGCCGACCGATCCGATCCGTCAATTGCATACATACACACGTCAAACTTGCATATTTGACACACACGTTCACCAGACATCTAGAGAAGAACGACTCACCTGTGCTGTTTCCCGAACTTTGCAGTCGACGTCGACCGCTAGTATTTTGTAGAAGTGGGCCCAACTCGGCAACACCAATACGACATCGTCGACTTTACTGTTGCCTACCAGCTCGTTCAGTTCCAGTAGTGCCTTGAATAATGTATAACGATTATTAGTCAAATAAAAGATTAATCATAATTTTAAAAGTTTCAGTAACAATAATTAAGTATTTTAAGATAATAATTCTCTCTAGTTTTAATATGAATAAAGAGTGTGTGGCGAGCTATCCGCTCCAATTTTATACTCGGGCAACCGCCCTACAATTTGACGAAGAAACGCTCCGCTCATGCGCTTTGGACCAGCGGCGATGACTGACGTCACGCATTACGTAGCTCGCCGGGCGTATGCGCATCCTTGTCGCACGCGCTCGCTTCGTGATGATGCGTGCCTGCTCGCGTCGTCGCGCCGTCGGCCGAACAAGAACTACTCTGCATATAGCTTTGCTTGCGTACGACCGTCACATTTCTAATAATTAATAATTTGCTTACTTTCGCTATTTTATATAATTCTTTTCTTGTAATTTAATTCTATTCTGTGTGTAATCAATATATCCTTCATTCTTAGTGCTTGTGCTTCTTTTCTTTCTCGTGAACTGTGTTGTTTTGTGCTGTTTAAATTGAATATTATTATCGAGTTCGACTCCCGAATTTTATGTGGGATTACCTCATCTAATATCCTACAAGTGATTTACTATCGACCGATATTTTGTTTAAGACTCATTTGAAAAGTCTTTACCGATATTTGCACAAACATCCATTAAAATTTAATGACGCCTTTAATCACTAATGAATGTCAAATTTGTATAAGTAATAACACTTTAAACTAATGATTTTAATGGATGTTTATGATGAAAACTGGCTGTTAGAATTTCATTTGTATATTGCTGCTGTTATTTATTAGATAACTCTAAAGTACCTTTACTTTGGTGACCGGATCTTTCTTATTAAGTTTCTTTATACAAACGGAGAATTCTGACGGTAAAGCTTGATCTAATACTGGGGTGGGGATTGTGGGGAATAAGGCCGTCATCATCTTGCCCCCACTTAGCAATGACGGATCCAGGTTGGTCGCATTATGGAGGAGTTCTGCACTTCTACCACTGCTAGATGGCTAAAATAATCATAATCATTAATATATTTAATACATGTGAAACATTACTTAAATAATATAAGTATTGCTATTGTAGCTGATAAGTTGTTATTATAATACAGTATTGGTAACACTTAATTCTAAGCAGAAAATTGCAGCAAACATACTTATTGATAACAGTGTACTAGCCATTGTATTTTTCATTAAATGAGTCAGATTCTCCACTAAACTACAGTCAGAGTACAAAAAGGAAGGGCTCTTCATACATACGCACTGAAAATAGTTTGCATGTGAGCGCGCCCGTGCGTATGTATCGTCGCACGCACACACTTCCAAAATTATCGAAGTTATAAGAGTTCAAGGCATGAATGGCAACTAGCCAGTTGTGGCTAGTATGCCGTGCATGCGTATATTCCGCGTCATTATATTGCCACTTGTTATAAAATTTCTGGACATAAACAAGTTGGCTTTGAAAGGTAAACCAAAATATTGTACATATATTGTTTCGTTCTTTAAGTATTTGGGTAATTTATTATAATATCATAAGCAATAACAATATAAAAAAAATATGGGCCTTTGATAGTAACTGTTTATACAAAGCACACGATTATTAGAAACTAAGATCGGCAATATCTTATTTCGATTGTAGCCTGATTATTGGGAAAAAAGTTAATAAATACATTATTCATTAAAGCCATGTTTTATTTTACAAAAAACTTAATTGATGACATGGCATGAAAAAAATTGTAGTCAGCTCCTGGTCTATATATTAAAAAAATATTAAAAAGTTGTATTATAGTTCCTGGATGCTTATCATTCTGGGGGAAACTACATTATAGAGATTGATTGACCATGCAATTCTGACGATAGAATAACCTATAAGCCACAGCCCTACATGTTTAGGCTATTATCTCTCGTTTGGGGTCTCGAGTGCTTAGTAAACAATGAGAAGCATATATTAATAACCTTTCTAGACTAAACAACATTCTAAGCAATTTAACTAGAATTCAGCAATTAGATTATATAGTAGTGTTAATATAAAATTACCTAATTTTTGTAATTTAATGTACAATGTCTTAACATTACAAGCATCATGTTATGTGTAAACAAAAACCAGTGAATAACCAATTGTTTTATTTAATTAAACACATTTCTAATAACTGAATTCTACATGTTATTGGGATTGACAATGGGTGTTTTCCACTACTCGACACTTGGTGCTGGTTTTGCGTGCAAACAGTGGAGGCCTTAGTGCTGCCAAAAAACATTATAGGGCTGTCATATAACTTAATTTCAGCTTCATTACTATTTTCCATATTTTGTTAAAATATTGAAATTTTACAAGTGTTTCTGGTAATTTATGGCAGTAAAAAATAATACTCATAAAATGACGACGAAACGAGTTTCATGTTTTTTTTTGTCACCCTAATTTGCTTTGTTTACATTTACCCTTCATCAAATTTGGCTAGAGTATAGGTAACATTTAAAAGTAGAGTCTGCATCTAGTCATTAATGATGTATTTTGTTTTAAGGTTATATTGTAGCGACTCATATGTCACCAGAATAGTTTATTTAACTCAGTGGACTATTAAATGATGACGAAAGACTAAGAGTTTTATGATACAGCTGGTTGGTCATTTAAATAACTTGGAGTGGATTGAAAGTAATTTTGTTGGCTGTATATTTTGTAATATTGCGTTAGCAAACAAAAATACCTCTGAATAATGTTTTAATGGGACTTACTCGAACATTATTTTTTGTACGTTGGCTTGATTTGGTTTTTCCACCCATCTCGTTTCGAAATTATACATTTAGTGGTATCATATGGACAATTGCTAAAGCTTAAGCCTTTATTGATTCTATTTAGATTAATATGATTTAATTTCTGAAAATAATTAATTATATACAGGAACAGCGTAATATTTTCATAATCTTTGACATTGACGTACAACAAGATAGGTTTGTCGAAAAAATATCGATATTTCGATATTTTTTATTCGATATATTTTTTAATGATATATCGATATAAAATATCCAATATCGAAATAGTATCAATAACGATATTTTCTTTTGTTTTTATTTGATCGACTCAATTTGCTGCTTAACTGCTTTTTTTGAAGTCAATTCAATTCAATTTCTTCGTTATTGGCTCTTCTATGAATTAGCCAGCATCAGGTATCAATTAGCAATAGTGTTTTTATTTGTTCAGTTTGACTCTGCTTGTTATCCACTACTCGGTTGGTAATGTAACCGGGTGTTATGCAAGTACAAGGGCGGGGGGTGGAAGCAAACAAACAGTAAACATAAAAGGAGATTTTTTTTTTTTAAATCTAAAGTTGAGGTACCTGAAACAATGGCAAAGCATTCTTGTTAGAGCCTTAGTAAAGAAGCATTATTTATCTAGCTGTTACAGTTTAATATTATTACTATCTATGTACGAACACAGGACGTTTCAAAATCAGTGTACACCAATGGCAATCGGGACTTAAAATTTGTGGGACGAGGGACGAATAATGGAAGAGAGTTGTATAAGGATGAATTATTTTTAGAGCATTTGAAAAATATATGATCTGTGATACCCTCGTCGAGACCACATTCGCATAGGGAACTGTCCTTCACCCTGATCTTGGCTAGAAATACCGGAGTGCATACATGACCCAATCTAAGTCTGGCTATGGTAGACATTACTTGTTTTTTGACATTACGAATTTTGCTGAACCATGGAGTACACGGAATATCCGATTGAATGCTGGCGTATTGAAGTCGTTTTGAAGAGGAGGTCTTTTTCCAATCTTTAGTCCATACAGTCAGTAGATCCTTCCTTGCCATAGCGTTTAGATTAACTGTAGCTTGCTTGGCGCATGCATCTGCTGTCTCATTATCGCTAATACCTGTTTGCCCTGGGACCCACACCAGGAGAGTTTGTAGATCTTGTCGATGAAATTCATACAAAATAGTTTTAATTCTTAAAATATATTGAAATTTAAATCTGCAACGAAACTGATTAGATTCGATGGCCTGCAAACAACTTTTTGACTCTGAAAATATAACTACTCTATTGAGCTTGTGGCGACTGATACATTGCGACATCTAATTCATCGCAGTAACATCGCCACAACAATCGATAGCGAGAAGACTAGCATCGTCGCAGCCATCGATAGCAACACGAACTGCAATAAGTTTCAACAGCAAGTAACGAGATGGCGTTGTACCAATACAAACAGCATAAATTAATAACAACAAGACATTAAGAACAAAGAAACCTACATCACATAGAATAAGTTTAATTACCAATTAACATAAATAGAACGTCCAACCTACATCGGTTGGACCGCGGTCCCCGGGCTAACAACACCTAGCTCCGAGGGAGACAATTGTCCTTTAGTCTCCCTGGCCAGTTGTCTCCATCACCACACAAGGGACCCAACCTTCAACCATAAGGGTCCTAAAAGCTTTTAAGGGATTGTATAAATTTCAAAGCTTCTAATATGGCGATAGCTTCGCCTGAAAAAACTGAAGAGGACGAGGAACATTTAAAGTTTAATATTATTTTATATTTTGGGATCCAGACCGCTGAACTAACATGTTCATCATCTGATAATTTTGATGCGTCAGTATATATTGAAAGCCAATCAGCCCATTTCTCAGACATTAATTGGTTAAATTTTGCTTGTGTGATGAATTCACGTTCCTGCAGGTCTTCGGATTTATTACTTGTAGGAACTATGCCTCGTTTTAACCAAAAAATAACACTTTAGATGTTCATCTACGAAGACATTTTATTGAATTGAAAAACAATAATATGTGAAATTGTCAATAAAATTTAAATATTATTATTTATTTATTATTAACTGAAATGAGGTTTGATTTATAACATCCTCCCCACCATGGCACTGGTTGACAACAACATGTGCCTTCTTACGCCATACACACATAGCACACACATAATACAAAGTACAAAATAAAATTAAAAACTATACATACTAACAATATGCTAAACACAATACATACCTTATAAAATTTATTAATACTATGTTCAAAACTAAAATTTTAACTTATCTGGTATTCTGACGAGTCGGCCAGAACGCGTTCTAAGTTCACCTTGTACTTCTCGTAGAATACCTATTGCAGTATTGTGTTTGTTGCTCTCACTGCGATTATTCAAATAAGCAGATTCCACACCAGATAACTCTAGTGGGTACAGAGACTGTACAGCTCTTAAACGTTCTCCCGACGATGTCCTAAGACGAGCAACTCTATTGACACCGTCAGAACCTCCCATACATTCTAATACTAAACCCAGTGGCCACTGTATACGCTTCTTGTCACTAACCTCAAGTAGTACAATATCCCCGGGTTTTAAGGAATTATTTTTATTACATTTAGTGACTAGTAAGCCTAAATATTCACTGCGAAAACGATGTTTCAAATCAGAACATAGTTTCTTAATGTAGCGCCACCGTGATGTCAAAATATGACCATTTATCAAATCGATATCAAAACTATTGCTACTATTTGTCTTATAAAATAGTAAAAATGAAGCGGGTGTAAGAGGTTGAACATTTTCTGAATTATCCGCAATATACGTGAGCGGACGCGAATTTACAATCGCCTCTACCTCACAAATGACGGTTGATAACTCATTAAAAGATAATGCTGCTCTACCTAAAACACGCCTTAAAAGTTCTTTGACAGTTCTTACCATTCGCTCCCAAAATCCTCCCCACCATGGCGCTGCGGGTGGACTAAATCGCCATAAAATCCTATCAGTTTTATATTCTACTGTTTCCCAATTTATGTTATCTAAAACATTACTTGCACCTCTAAAGTTTGTTCCATTATCGCTGTATATAACCTTAACATTCCCTCGTCTAGCTAAAAATCTACGAAGAGACATCATAAATTCTTCGGTAGATAACGAAACACAGAGCTCTAAATGAACCGCGCGATACACAGCACAAGTGAATAAGGACAGCCAGCACTTCTCTCCAGATCTCAGATATAATGGCCCTGCAAAATCTATCCCCGTGACTTCAAACCGACCGCTACATTCAACGCGATCTGCAGGTAATGGTGGTATAGGGGCAACACAAGCTTTGGCACTGAACCGTTTGCAAATCATACAACTATTAACAACGCGATTAGCCATTTTCCTGATACCAAATATCCAATAAAGTTCGCGTAATTTAGATATTAAAGTTTGGGAACCTGCATGTGAGAACTTTCTGTGAAAGTGCACTGTTAAACGTTCTACTATTTGACACTTAGGAAGTAAAATAGGCATAATAAAATTTTCAGTATCATTACTCAACATTAGTCGCGTTTTGACACGAAGAACACCATAATTGTCCTTTACTAATTCCAGATTCGGTAACTTATTTGTGTTCATTAAATAATCTATTTGTAACATTATAAATAACCTTTTTTCAGCTTCCAAAATCTCATCATTACGTAAATTCCCTAAACGTTTATTTAGCTTTTTCGAATTAAATATAAACCTAAGACACCAACCTATCATCCTAACTATTTTTAAATAATCGCTAAAATATAAAAACTTATTAGAGAATCTATCTTTATCCTCTACATTTATTAAAACTGAACTAAACTCTTTTTCTATCTCTGTAACATTTGTTGTTTCTACAGAATGAGGCCAATTTAAACTGTTTTCTTTTAACCAAGTAGGACCTAACCACCATTTACTTTCTAGTAAAACTTGTGGGTTACATCCTCTTGAAGGGAGATCAGCAGGGAAACAATAACATGTGACATTGTCAATAAAATTTAAATATTATTATTTATTTATTATTAACTGAAATGAGGTTTGATTTATAACAGCTTGAGCATCCACAGCATTTTTATCTATATTTAGATCTAATATTATTTTCGGTTGATAAATTAAAGCCTGATATGGAGTTTCAAATAGGGGATTTAGTCTACATTGGTAAACAGGAGAGGGGAGGTGGAATTTTACCAATCAAATCTTCCCAAGGCGCCCCGACTGTAAGTCGTTCTGTTCTGTATTACTTAACAGAATTCTAAACTACTGGGCTTGTTTCTTTCTTTTAAGTTTTTATTTAAGTTAATTATTTCATGTATTTTTTAAAATTCGTTTATACGCAATCGGGTTTTTTTGTATTTCTTTAAATAATATTGTTTTTTTTTTGCAAATTAATAAAATACAGTTAAAATAATAAAAGTATCAATAAAGTCAAAATTATACGGATTTGTTTATCTAGTTGTATCAATATTGAAAAAAAAAATCAATAGAAACTAGTGCAGGAAAACCAAAAAGCTCATGTCGGATTCCTTGGTATAGTACAATACTACTATAGTACAGGCCGTAACAAAGCCTGCGTCTTGCTACGTCGAAGCATAATATACAAAGCACATAAATATCTCCTTCGACAAATTTTTTTACGAAAAATCTGATAACCTTGACCCTAAACAAGAAATACTCATAATAAAATCCGTAATTCGTAATTTGTGTTTATTTAGTTGTATTAATACAGATAGATAGATAATTCATTTATTTGCATTATTAAAATCACATGCATTATAAAATTATATTGCAATAAAAAAATACAATAAAAAAAAAACCGCTTTAACGTGTGCGTCACACGTGAGAATAATAAATGTTTAAAATATTGAATGTCACTGTCATAGATTACATATGTCGGAGTATGAAAAGACAGTACAATATAAAGAAAATTGTACGGTTTATACCGCACATTAAGCATATTACCGCGTCAGCATTTACGTATTCATTTACATTTTCTATACATCAACAGTGC